AAGGAAGGAAGGAAGGAAGGAAGGAAGGAAGGAAGGAAGGAAGGAAGGGAAAAGAAAACTATAAAAGGAAAGAAAAAGGGGAAAATAAAGAAAAGCAATGAAATGAAAAGGAAAGAAAACAAAAAGAAAAAAAAAAAACCGAACTCGTTCGCTTTCTCTGAACCTTGGCTCTTTGGGTTGCCGTCGTTGCCCTGGGCGATCAAGAGGCGCTGTGTCCCGCGCGTCCTGTATCTATGGAGACATCAGCTTGGCGGCTGTGTGCGTTCTGAACGTTGGAGCCCAGCGAGAAGCACAAGTGTCAGAGAAAAAGAAGGTATCCGTACCGAGACCCCCTTACCCATGCAATCGCCGCGGAGCTTTCACGGAGGGCGAGATTAATTAGGCGGGGCAATCGGGAGACTTGGAGAAGCCTCCTAAAGTATATTTTGTCGCCTTCGTTTTCCCTGTTTCTTCCTCAGCTGTACCCCAATCCCAACCCCGTTTCTCCACTGGTCATTTCTGGAAAAATTTAAGATCGGAAATTAGGCAAATAAAAGAAGCTGGTGAAATCTTCTCTTCCCGTTTGGAACTAGGAAATCGGCTTAAAACAAAACCAAAAAGCAAAACAGCAAAAATCTCACAACTACACCGGCTTTTCGCAGCGAAATGTTGGAAATGACTTCATGTGTTCCCCCTGGGCTCCGTGTTCACCACCCTAAGCCCAGGCTGGACCCCTTTTCTGCCCTATTCCATCTCTTCTCTGGCCTTTCAGGAATAGACTGGTGTGTTGAGTGGGGGCTTTTTCAGAGCGGTGGGGCAGGAACTGTCTGTTGAATCCCCTGTATTTGAGAGGTCAGGGAATAGGAGCAGGGCTGCAAAGCTCTCCAAGGACGGAAAAGTAACAGCTCTCTTCCCCACCCCCAGCTTGCGTTTCTTGGGCTCCGCCTGAACAGCCGCTTTACTTTTGGAGGTAGGAACCTTAATTGTTTTGTCCCGAGTCTAGCAGGGTGCCTGCTGTGCATTGTTTGTAAATGCTCTGTGAGGGAATGGATGGGATGAAGGCGGAAGTCTGGAAGGTTCCCTCCAATGGTTGGAGAGCCCTCTAGGAACAAACGAGTCCACAGAGGGTTTCTCCTGTTGGTGGAAAGACAATGAGATTATCTGCTGGACAGTGTAAATTCCTAAAGGCAGTTATGAGGTTGTTACCTGTAAACTGAGGAGCTTAATAACCAACTTGAAAAGGGAAATTTTTAGGTTAAATAAAAGGGAAATCACAGCCCAGTGGTGGCACATACCTTAATCCCAGCACCAGGGAGGCAGAGGCAGGCAGATCTGTCAATTTGAGGACAGCCTGGCCTGCAGAGCTAGTTCCAGGACAGCCAGGGTTTCACAGAGAAACCTTTTTCTTGAAAAACCAGAGTGGGGGGAAGACAAGTCCCATGCACAGGCATTAAAATACCTGTTGAAAACCTTACCACATTGTCTGGCTCATCAGTTGTCAGTAGATGGCTAGTCAAAATTGATACTATGTTGGATATTGATAATGTCATTTAAAGAAGGGAAAAGGATAACTAAACAGTGTGAAATATACACACATGTTCAAAATAAGTATTTCAGCTTTGCTGTCCAGTGTGGTAGCTACTAGCCAACTGTTAACACGGGGCGCTTGAAATTTGGGCTGTCTGAATTGAGATAAACTGTGAATATAAGATGCACTGGGCTGGCCAGACGGTTCAGTGGTGAAGAGTTCTCCTGCACGCCAGAAGAGGGCACCAGATCTCATTGTAGATGGCTGTGAGCTACCATATAGTTGCTGGGACCAAGAGTTTTATTCTTAACACACACGTTTTGGGTGGCTCGAAACTGCCTGTAACACAAGTTCCAGGGGATTAGATACTCACTTCTGGCTTCTGCTAGTACACACACACACACACAAATAAAAATTTAAAAAAAAATATTTTAAAAGTAAGATACACTGCTGGATGTGGTGCTACACTCTTTTTTTAATTTTTATTATTAGTTACATTTTATTAACTCTGTATCCCAGCTGTATCCTGCTCCCTCATTCCTTCCCAATCCCACCCTCCCTCCCTCATCTGGTGCTACACTTTTAATCCTAGCACTTGGGAGGCAGAGTCAGGTGGATCTTAGAGAGTTCAAGTCCAACCAAAGCCACATAATACTATGTCTAAAAACCAAACAAAATAGCAAACTGAGCAAACCATAGGGAACAAGCCAGTAAGTAGTGTTCCTCTCTTGTTCCTGCCTCCAAGCTCCTGCCTTGACTTTCCTGAGAGTTGTAAGATAAGATGAACCCTTTGACCTTTGCTTTTGGTCATGGTGTCTGTTACACGGAAAGCAAATTAAACAGTGGATAATGTCACGTGTGGCCACGGAAGAACATGGCTGTGCAAGCTTTTTTTCTGAAACTGTCTGCCATGTGATTGCATGAGTAGTACTTTAGGGTGCTGAGCAAGGCTCTGGACCTTGTATTCCGTCTCATTTCTAATGGTGCCACCTCATAGTACTTGTCAGAATAAAGAGCACAGCCCTCCTCCATCTCCGAGGAACGAGTCTCCTGCATCAACTCTCTTCTTCAGGTCCTCCTCTTCTCCTCTCCCAGCTCCAGACTCACACGTGGATCTGGTAGGAATCTTTGGCTTGGCTAGATGCTCATCAGGACAAATCCAGGCCACATTATGAGGCTCAGGGAGAGCAGAGACTACACGGTGCATACCATAAGCGACAGATCATGCCTGAGTGTCAGCACACTGGCAAGCAGCAACGTCACCACCCAGGTGAGGCTCTGGGCAGGCTGGTGGATCAACCGTGGCAACACCAGTGGGTACCTGGTGACAGTACAATAGAGTGAGGGTCTGAGGGACAGACTCGCCCCTACACATTCCAGCTCTCACCCTTCTTAAATGGGGCCCTGGGCAGACTTGAGTGCAGGTGAGAGTGCTGGGGGCTGACTCGGTCCTCTGTAAGAGCAGCAAGGTTGAGGGCTATTAACTCTTGAACTATCTCTCCAGTCCTGCTGACCATTTCCTGATGTTGATAACCTGTGGGTTATTTCACAGTCCTTGACCATGTGTTGCACAAGTTGGTTGTGCGTGTGTGTGTGTGTGTGTGTGTGTGTGTGTGTGTTTGTCTTTATCAGCATGGATGGAAGCCAGTGGAGACTGATATTACATGTCTTTCTCCCCCCAGTCCCCACATTATATTTTGAAAGAGTCTCTCACTGAACTTGGTGACCTTTTAAAGGTCGCTTCATTTTCCATTTAAGAAGAACCGGCTTTGAGAGCTCGAGGGCTCAGGCGCTAGGTCCCAGGCGCTAGGTCCCCGCTCCCTCCTGCTGGTACCTGTACTTTATCTTCTGAATTTTCAAGGAGAGATTCTTCAGAACCAGGCTTGTCGTTTTCGTCACACTGGCTGTCTAGCAAACCCCCGGGGTCTGCCTGTCTCCAGCACCCCAGCCCACACCCCTGCCGAGTGCCGGGGTTACCAGCAGGCACATGCCCCTGCAACCAACTTTTTCCATGGGTGCTGGGGATCTCAACTCAGTCCCTCATGCTTGCCCAGTAAACACCCCATCCACTGAGCCTGAGTCCTCTGATTGAGCTCTACAGTGGCTTCTTAGTTCGCAGTTGGATCCTGATTGATGCACTGATTTTGATAATGGGTTGCTCTCCCCCATCTGTGCCACCTTTCCTCCGTAGGCAATCAGGGAAAGAAAATATCATATTGGCCATCCATTGCTCTTAGTAAATATTGAAACGGAGAGTGTAATCTCCAGAGAGAAAGGATTTGTATGTCTTCTTCACCATGATAGCCCAAGTGCCTCACACAGTGCCTGGCACATGGTAATCAACAAATATTTGCTGAGTGGATGGCTGCATCTTGTGTTATATATGACAACAGACAAGCAATAATTGGTCACAGATAAAACGGCAGGGCAGGAAAGTGTCCAGTTTATCTTTCCTTCGGTTGCCTCAGAGGTCTCAGCCCCCTCCCTCCTTAGATAGATACAAGATTTGATCAACTAAGAAAGTGGGTTTTTCTTCCCCCATTATAGTCAAGGAAACACTGGCACACTGAGTCTTATGAAGCACTTGGGGTAGCCAGGGGGACGTGGGTGGGAATTAGTCACTGGCAACTTGGCCCCTTCCTCTGCTCCAGTAGCCAGCTGAGGGCTGGGTGAAGGAACTGTGGAATGCCCTGCATTCTGGGAAAACATCTGGGGTAGCCCATTCAAGCTAGGAGAGGTTTGTGCAGATCATGGCTGGCTGGGAAAGAGGAAGAGAAGGTTCCTAAGGGAGAGAGAGAGAGATGCCCGAGGATATCCAAGGGATAACCCAGCAGCCAAGGCTGCATCGGCCACCTGGTGGCTAGGGCAGCTCAGGTAAGACTCCACTGCCGGGCCTTTTATGAAAAACAGTTCAGTGATTTTAGGTGTGATGATGAAAGATCCCATTTCTTCTCCAGCCCACACCCCGGGGTGAGGGACTTCACTATCCCTTAAGTGCTAAAAGCAGGACGGAGACGAGAAGTCTCCATGTTTTCTGAGTCTCAGCATCCTATTCCTGCCGATTGGCCTTGCTTCTCCCCCACTTTCCTGCCACCCGAACAGCCTGGAGATTCCCTGACCAGGAAAATCTGCATCACGAGGAAGCAGAACGAGAAGAAGAGGGTGGTGTGGGGCATCGAGGTCGCTGAGGGCCTGCACTGGAAGGGCTGGGAGCTGGGCAAGGAGACCACGAGGAACCTGGTTCTGAAGAATCTCTCCTCGAAAATCCAGAAGATAAAGTACAGGTACCAGCAGGAGGGAGCGGGGACCTAGCGCCTGGGACCTAGCGCCTGAGCCCTCGAGCTCTCAAAGCCAGTTCTTCTTAAATGGAAAACGAAGCGACCTTTAAAAGGTCACCAAGTCAGAGGAGCCATTCAAAACACGTGCATGGTGAAGAGTCCTAGAAATGATGACTAACTAGTTCAAATCATGGGACCGTCCTACTCCCAGAGAACAGCTAGCCTGTCTCCTGTTCTAACTACTTCCCTGCTTTTCCCAGACAGATTTGCCACCTGTGTTGGCATCCTTAAATGATACAGTTTAATTTACCTTATGAACTTTTAACCCCCTTTTTAAAAAAATCTCAATTTATCTTTTGTATACACCTCCAGATCTGCATTCACCTCAGGTGAAGCATTTCCCTGCATTTCTAAAGAGACTTTCAAGATGTTCTCTTATCTACATGGAATTGCCTTTTGTGAATGGCTTGAGGATATATTTCGTTAACTGGATGTGCAATCTTCTCAGCACCGTTTATCAAAGCAGATGCACTCCAGTTGATGGTTTCCCCGCCACTGACAGATACTGACTGTCGAACGGTGTAAATCTGTGGAGGGAATCTGTTCTGTGCCCTGATGTACTAGTGTAATCCTGGGTGTAATTAATAGAATCTATGGTAAAGTTATATCCGGTCATGTAAATCCTCCATCTTCTCAAGATTACCTGTTGTCTTGTCCCTTTCAACTTCCATTAAAGCTCAAAATGAGCTCACTGCACATACACCCAATTTTGTGTGTGTGAGACATTGGGATTTGGCTGAACATATAGATCAGTTTGGGAGATTACATAATGCAGTACTAAGTCCTCCTACATCTGGTTCTCAAGCGCTGGCATTACAGGTGTGTGCCACCATGTCCAGCTATATACATGATGCTCTTTAAAATTGTTTTCATCTTTTGTTTGTTGATATTTCTGAAGGTTGTCGTTTTTTAGTTTGTTTTGAGATAGGATCTTACTATATAGGCCTGTCTGGCCAAGAACTCACTATATAGACCAGGCTGGTTTCGAACTTGTGACAGTCTTCTCGCCTCAGACTCCCAGGTGATGGTATTACAAATATGAACCACCATGACTGGCTAGATTGTATAACATTTTAAAAATTTTTAAGATTTCTTTTTATTTATGTGCATACGTGTGTGTATGTGTACGGGTGACCTTGAGGTCAGAGAGAGGTTGGATCTCCTTGCCAAAAGTTGCAGGCAGTTGTCAGTTACCATGTGGGTGCTGGAAACCAAGCTTGGGTCTTCTGAAGGAGCAGCAAGTGATATTAACCAGTGAGCCATCTCTCCAGCCCCTAACATTTCTTTTTTGTTTGTTTGTTTGTTTTTTAGGGCTTCTTTTTTTAAGATTTATTTATTTATTATTTATTATTGCACAATGTCCTGTCTGCATGTGCACCTGCGTGCCAGAAGAGGGCACCAGATCTCATTATAGATGGTTGTGAGCCACCATGTGGATGCTGGGAATTGAACTCAAGACCTCTGGAAGAGCAGCCAGTGCCCTTACCCTCTGAGCCATCTCTCCAGCCCCTAACATTTCTTAATAGAGATACCATTTGTTTTGTTGTTTCTTTATTTTATTTATATGTTAAATTATGGCAACTGACTTTCTGCATCAAACTTACCATGCATATCTGGATAATCCCAACATTGTTACGTTATTTTTTTTTAAAACTAATATTCTGTTTCTGAGTAAGATTGGTCTGTAGTTCTCATTCTGTCTCTGTCAGGTTTTGGTACTACCATATGGTTGTTTCAAAGGCTGTGTTGGGGAGTGTTTCTATATTATCCTGAAGACTTTGAAACTGAACTCGTCTTTCCTCTAGTGCTGTCTTTCCTCAGTATTTGCTGTGGTTTTAGATAGAATGACCATAAAGTTCACTGAATAATTCTCTTGTTGGTTCTATAAGTTGCAGTTTCCTGTAACTGTGTCTGTTCCGCCTACACTTACCAGACCATTGGTGAAGTCATTGTCAACATGTTCTTTCTCTCTTTCCTTCTTTTTTTCTTTTATCTTTTGCGAGACAGGGTTTCTCTGTGTAGCCTTGGCTATCCTGGACTCGCTTTGTAGACCAGGCTGGCCTCTGCCTCCCTGACCGCTGGGATTAAAGGCGCGCACCACCATGCTCGACTCATTGTGTTTTTTATAACACCCTCAAAACCTGCTGCTCCTGCGCTATCCTTCTGGGCTCCTATAAGATCAGGACAGCCTCTCTCCATGACCATCATCTTCAGCAGAGACACAAATCTTGGTATGAAGAATTGTAGGAGGAGAAGGAGAAGGAGTAGGGAGTAAGAGTAAGGAGTGGGGAGCCAGGCATGATGGCACATGCTTGGAGGATCAAGGAGTTCAAGGCTTCATACAGCAAGTTTGAGGTCACCCTGTGCTACATAAGAGCCTGTCCCAAAGCAAAAATGTACTGTATATATGGAAATGTGCACATATGTTTACACACATGTGTATATGGTGGGAGCCTGAGCGTATAGCCTAGTAGCTTGACTGCCTAGCATGTACGAAGTCTGGATTTGATCTCCATCACCATAGAAACTGAACATGGTGGAGTTCATGCCTATAACCCCAGCACTAGGGAGGTAGATACAGATCAGAAGTCAAAGGTCACCTTTGGCTACTATAGAAGACTAATTAATAAAACAACAGTTTTCTTTAACCCCCATTAGCTTCCAAAATAATTGACACAGAGAGACTATGGTTTATTTTACAAGCTTAAAGCACTGGATCTGGGCAGATATCAACCATCTAAGCTATTTAGCTGTCTTTCAGCTACAAAACCCAAGTTATTTGCCAATAAGTCTTCCTTTCTTGGCTGGATCTGTTCCTTGTCCTCCTTCTCCGTCTTCTGCTCCTTCTCTACATCCTCCCCCTGTCTCATGGCATCCTGGCGCCCAAGCCCGGGAACATAAAACTCCGTCTACCTCTGTCCTACCAAGTCAAAGGCTGCAGCCCTAACCCAGTCAACTTTAAATTAGGTAGAGCGATGTTTACACAACAAAGACAGGTGTAACAGAGAATGGGCTTGTCTGGGCAGCAACCAGATCTCGGGGCACTGAAATCAGCATCTGAAAACACAGTGAATGAGACCCTCCTCCAACGTTTCCCCACTTTAGACCAATAAAAGTTTCATATATATATATAACTACATACAGTAAGAACAATTATGAAACAATCAGAAAAACCATTATATAAGAGTTACATACTTAGTGTCCCCTCCATATGTATAGGCATCTTGGTGAGTTCAGAGTTCTGAACCTAAATCTCTATCATATTTTGTATCTATCAACCTAAAATCATCTATCTGGATCTTAAAACATCTTTTTAATTCCTAAGCAACTAAGCTTAATTGTAGAACTCTAACTAGTATTCAACTCCATCAGAGACTTGAGAAGGAATAAAATTATTATCTGAGTAAACAGGGAGTGTAAGCGAGCAGCTTCCAAAATAAAAATAAATAAGACAGAGACAGTCCACTGCCTGGACAGTCTCGCAGAATCTCTCTCTAATGCTGGAGCATCATCTTCAGCCTTCTGGCCCAGTATATCTGACAGACATATTTGTGAGGCAGGAACTATTAAAGACTTGCTTCCTGTCTTGGTAGAGCTTGGCAGATGACTTGGCCTGCATCCAAGCTTGCCCATTTTAGGCAGAATTCTGTCCCTCCAACAGGCTACATATCAAGTTCAAGGCCAACCTGGGCTACATGAGACGGGCTCTCAATAAGTAAATAAAATGAAGAGAAGGAGGGAGGGAGGGCATAAGTCTCCCTTGCAAGCTGGCTCCTTATTGAGTCTCCTCACTCCTTCAGCTTCCTCTGGTGTTTGTGAGCCCAGCTCTGCTGTGTTCATCACCCGGCTCTTCTCTGCAGGCCTCCCAAGACCAAGTTCTTCTTCACAATCATTCCCCAGCCCATCTTCCTGAGCCCAGGCATAATGCTCACGCTCCCCATCATCTTCCGGCCTCTAGAAGAGGTAAGATCTGCCAGACAAGCAATGCAGTGTGGGGAGGGGAAGGAGAGCGGAGACCTCCAATTAGGAGGATCGTCTGAGCAGCAGGGATTTCCACACACACCTGTATCTCCTGCATTTGAGGAGCAAAGGCAAGGGTTGTTTAAGACCATCCTGGTCTACATAATAAGTTCAAGCCAGGCATGGCTACAAAGTGGGATCCTGTCTCAGAAAAAAAAAAAAAATCAAACAAAAATAAAAAATAAAAATAAAAAAAAAAATCTAAGCTTGGCCAGACCCTGATCTTGTTCAATAGAAGGGTGTTCCCCATTTGCTATTGGGCCAGAGAGGCTGTATTTACCACCAGAAGACTATAGATTCATTAGGCACTTACTGCCCGCAATCTTCCTCAGAATTTTTGGTGAAACTTTTTGTCCTGAGTCTCAGTATGTTTAGTCGTAGTCTCACTATGTTGCTCAGCTTATCCTGGCACCTCTAGGCTCAAGCAGGCCTCCTGCCTCAGGTTCCTGAGTAGCTGCAATTACAGGGGTATCCCTTCGCATCTTCTCAGAATTCCTGTTTCCCGCAGAAGTGGCCCTTTTCTCGGAGGCCAAGGCAATATTAAGTGCTCAGGAAGTTCTGACATGGTGGGCTATATCCCAGCACCCCCTGCCAGGGATTTATTGAAGGGATGGCTTGCAGGGGTGGGATGTATGATCCCTGGGTACTACCTGGGTACCACTCACCGGTAACGGCCTCTTCCTCTCCCTACCTCTTGTCCTGCAGAAGGAATACACGGACCAGCTGTGGTTTGAGAAAGAAGAGGGGGCTTTCTGTGTGTTCTTGAAGGCCACCTTGCCTTGCCACAAGCTAGTCTGCCCAGAATTCTTGCAACTGCCCATGTGTGCCATAGGGGACATGGTGGAGACCTGGTTCTGTCTGAACAACGTCGGGTGAGAAGCCCCTGAAGTGGAAATAGCAGCCCCTGGGAGGAGAGCTGTGTTGTGCGGAGGAGACAGGTTTATGCCAGCAGAACCCCAGGACCTGACTCCTCTCCCTCCCCCTTCCCTTCCCCCGTCACTCTTAGGGACCTGCCCACCTTCTTCACCTGGGAAGTTCCAAACCCATTCCAGATGCTTCCCACCTCTGGGTTACTGGAGCCAGGCCTGGGTTGTAAGATCAAGGTGACCTTTGAGCCCCTCATAGCTGTTATTCACGAGGTGGAGGCCCTGTGCTGGTATGGGAAGGGCAGCAGGCAGAAGAACAGCATCCAGATACAGGCTGCAGGTAAACCTGCCTTCCCCACCCGTCCCCACAGACCCTCTGCAGCACTCCCTGCCTCTCGCCCTTCCCTCTGCCCTGGGCTTTATCTTCTACTAAGCCACAGACTATTCCTCCCCGGGAGGGGGGGTATGAGGTGACACATCATCACTTCTGGGGACTGTTCACCTGTGTCTACAGACATCCTGATAGGTCCTCCTCAAGACACCCCCTATTTCTGCCCCAGGTAAATGTACACAGCTGCTGGTGAGCATAAAGCACAAGCAGCCAGAGGACCAGGATCCAGAGGGTTTCCAGAAGTTGTTACACTTCGGCCATGTCTCTGTGGGCTCCACCGCCGAGCGCCAAATCAGGCTGTATAACCCATCTGCGGTGTGCATGCACTGGGAAGGGATGGGCAAGAGGGAAGGGGCAGGGCTCAGGGGACCTCAGGGCTGCGCATGCTCACAGCCCATCCTCCTTCCTCTCAACCCTCAGATGCAGAGCCTTGCAGGCTCGTGTCTATTGATAAAAACACGTGTGGCAACAGCTGTCTCCCCTCTCAGCGGAGGAGGCTAGGCTCAGGTGTCCTGTAGTGTCCTGAGTGTCCCGACCCCGGGTCTAAGGCTTGCTCTCACCCTAACCTTTGGGAGAAGTAAAAAATGGCCCCGCTCCAGTCCACCTTGAGATGGGGCACACAGCTTGGCCTCTTTGCTCCCTGATACTCACACAGGCCAGACTAGTTACCATGTGTCCCTGATCCCTCTTGTGCCTTCCTCTGTATGACGCACAGGCCTTCCAAATCTATGACTAGAACCTTTCCTTCCCCTGACCCCCTGGCTCTACAGGTTAATGCCCCCTTTAAGGTTGAAATAGCCGAAGACGTGCTCACCAAAGACCATGCCTTCTCATGCTCCACGACCCACGGTATGGTGCCCCCAGGAGAGAAGAAATGCCTGTCACTGTTCTTCCACCCCAATACCCTGGACAGCAGAACCAGAGACTACTTCTCCATCGTGCCTGCTGGTTGCGCCTCCCAAACTCAGCTCCAAGTCGTCGGTTTCTGTAGAGGTAACGGTCCTCCCAGGAGGCTGTGCTCCCCAGAACATGAACATCCCACTAAGGAGTCAGTCATTCCCTTGGGCTCCTTGTCTGTTCCAGAGAGACTTTTTTTTCCTGGTCCCTGAGCCTGGGTGTCTGCTGTCCCCTGGTGGCCATGTGGGGAAGCATTGTGGATACCTGACGGTCCACACAGTAATGATAGAACTCTGAAAAATTTGCAGGGTCCCTGGGCCTTATCTGCCCGTCTCGCTCTAGGATGCACTCCGTCCGAGCAGTAGGACCTGGCACCCAGCCCACCCAGAGGGCAGGCTCCTCTCACAAGGACCCATGTCCTCTGCCTAGGTCCCGAGGTGGTCCTGCAGCACTACTGCATTAACTTCAGCTGGGTGAGGCTCGGGGAGCACGCAGAGCAGACCCTGTGGATTGAGAATCAGTCGGACTGCCCGGGCCACTTCCAGTTTGACATTGACTGCCAGGAGAGCGTCTTCAGCATCAGACCTACCTTTGGAACCCTGGCAGGCAAGGCCCGCATCACCTTGCACTGTGTCTACCAGCCCATACACCCTATCATCTGCTTCCGAAGGGTGGCTTGTCTCGTCCACCACCAGGTGAGTAACGGAGAAGGGACCAAGATACAAGGGAAGAGGCCGTTCTCATTCCGGTGACAGGCCATGAGACTAAGTGATGAAGGCCAGGCTGGTGGGCGCTCCCCTCTTTTCAGAACATGTAAGGCTGTCTGGCTGGGTCATCTCCCCCTTTAGAATGGTTGTCATGGCTTTAGAGGCCCAGCATGGCCAGGAGTGGATAAAAGCTCACTGGTCCAGATGGGTGTGCCACGTTCACCCTGACTGTTTTCATGCCGTAGCCTCTGCTGCTGTAGCCTCTGTTGCTGTCAGTGGGCTGAGAAGTGGGGAGGAGGAGGGGCTTAGGCCTCAACCCACAGAGCACATGCAGTGTTTGCGTAGGTGAACCTCTGAAGCCAGAAGCCAAACCCAGCCCCCGTGGAAGTGTGATATACAGTACCTGAACATGATGACAAAGTTGAGGCTGAAATGTAGCCTTGGATTTCCCCATCAACTGGGCTCTGGTCTTAACCCCTCTGCCTGGAAAAGAGGTTCTTTGCCCAGTCCTCACGAGTGCAGCATAAGCTCTGGGAGACCTTGGAGGGAAAGGACAGATGTGGTTTCTGCCATTTCACCCATGGGTGAAGCTAAATGCTGGTCTGCTAGGCTTCTGATGGGCACTGATTGTCAGGAGACCGCCCAGGAACCATGGCAGGTGGAGGAAGGGCAGGCAATAGCTAAGGGTCATGTCTTCAGGCCTAGGCTGCTCTCCTCCTGACTTGCCCTGGAATTGCACTCCTCAAACAGCAGCTCTCAGGATGCTCCCCTTGACCTGCCTCCTCTGCTCCCTGCTGTCCTCTGCCCAGCCCCCACACCCACTTGCCTCACCACCTACCCCATGTTCTGTCTCTCGTGGGCAAACATCACAGGACCCACTGTTTCTGGACCTGATTGGGACCTGCCACTCAGAGAATATCAGGCCAGCCATCCTGAGGCCTCAGCACCTCACCTGGTACCGAACACACCTGGCTCGGGGCCTGACACTCTACCCTCCTGACATCCTGGCTGCCATGCTGAAGGAGAAAAAGCTAGAACGGGATGAGAATGGGGCCCTCATGTTGCCCATTGAGGTATGTGGGATGCCAGACATCTCAGCGCCCCACAGAGGCAGTCTGCCCACTCCAGGTTTCTGGCCCCTCCCCCAGCAGTCATTGAACAGGTCTGTCGAGCACCTCTGTAGCTGGGGATGGCCTACTTGGAGCCTTGCAGTCTTTTCTGGAGAGGAGGGAGCCGAAGAAAGTCAACAGCAAGAGGAATGACATTTGAACCCTCGCAGTCTCTCCCTCTGCAGGATCCGCACGACCAGCCAGCCCCAGTGTACCCCTCCATCCCCCCCATGGCAGAGTACTTTTTTGACGGCACCCGGGACATGGCCATCTTCCCCCCGGCTGTCAGTCTAGAGCCGATCGATGTGGACTTCGGTGGCTGTCCCAGGCCTGCGGACCCCAACCCTGTTCCCCTGTGCCTGAAGAACCACACCAAGGGCAAGATCACCGTGATCTGGACTCACAGGCCTGACTGCCCTTTCTGGGTCACCCCAGACACGAGCGACGTGCCTCCACTCAGGTCCATAGCCCTGCGCCTGCATTTCAAGCCGTCCTCTCCCAACTGCCTCTATGCTGTGGAGCTGGAAGCCTTCGCCGTCTACAAGGTGTGTGCATACAGACCAAACAAGCGAGGAAACTAGGCCCCTCCTTGGGACCTGAAGGGCAGTCTGGTCGCAAGAATGACCCGTGGCTGCAGAGCCCATCCTCTCCAGGCAGACTTCTCTGGATGGACAGTGCCCTCTACCGGTTCGATCCTCCCAGGCTCAGGGCCCGACTTGGCCCTTCTGAGTTCCACTTCTGCGTGGTCTCCCCCCCCTTCCCCCAGGGAAGAACTCGGGTGGAATCCTGCCCTTTGGAAAGACTTAGTGCCTAGGGAGGAGCTCTCTGGGGGTCTCAGATAGGGGTCTCTGGCTTCTAGTCCTGGGAGGAGGTATTCCAAAGCAAAATCACTGTTTTCATTTTGTGGTTTGGTTTTTAAAATGTTTTCTTTATTATTATTATTTATTACAATGTATTCACTTTGTATCTGGGCTGTAGCCGCGTCCCTCACCTCCTCCCAGTCCCACCCTCCCTCTCTCTTCCCCCCTATGTCTCTCCTCTCGTCTGCTGATAGGGCATGTGGTTTGTGTTTTTTAAGACAGGGTTTCTTTCACCTTATAGCCAGGGCTGGCCTCAACTCCTTGCAATTTTTTGTGCCTCAGCCTCCCGATTTGGGGATTATAGATGTAAACTCAAGACTTGCCCAAAACACGGTTGTGGGTGTTTTTATTTTTGTTTTGTTTTTGTAGAGATCTTGTCGAGTACAGGCTGGTCTTGGTGTTAGGGACCAAACCTAGGGCTTGATGCGTACTAGGCAAGCATCTACCAATTAAACTATATACCCTCCATGTCTTTCCTTCCTTCCTTCCTGCCTTCCTGCCTTCCTTCCTTCCTTCCTGCCTTCCTGCCTTCCTGCCTTCCTTCCTGCCTGCCTTGTCTGTTTGTCTCTTTTCTGAGTCAGGGTCTCACTGTATAAGCTCAGCTGGCCTGGAACTCCATATGTAGACCAAGGCATACACCATTATGTCTGGCCCTCAAAGCAGAGCTTTAACTGTTCCCATTCTCATATATTTGTAGGGGTATGGGAGACAGGTGGAAATATGACACTAACTCCTGACTGGCCAGTTCTGAGCACATCAGATTACAAGCTCTAGACCCGTGCCGTTCCATAAGGCAGGCAGATACCAGCCAGTTGTATGTGACCAGCACACCCCAGAAATAAGGTGGTCCAAATAGAGAAGATGTACTGTGACTATAAAATATACCCAGATTTCAAAGATTGGCTATGAAAAGACTGTAAATTATCTCATTAATAGCTTCTATAATGATTGCATGACAAAATGATTAGAGTTTGGAACTGTTACTATTGAAATTAATTTCACTTTTTTTTTTTTTTTTTTGAGACAGGGTTTTTCTGTGTAGCTTTGGCTGGCCTGGATTCTCTTTGTAGACCAGGCTGGCCTTGAACTCACAGAGATCCACCTGCTGCCTTCCTGAGTGCTGGGATTACAGGCATGGGCCATCGTGCCTGGCTTAATTTCACATTTTTTTAATGCAGCCACTGAAACATTTAAAATTGCATTTTCAGCCAGAATCTGTAGCTTATGTCATATTTCCATTGGCCAGCACTGTTCTGGGCTCATTCCTGTGGAATGAATGCTGCATTCACAACTCAGCACACTCCCCTCCTTACAGAGGGTGCAAAGTGAGCGCCAGATAGAAGATCCAGTGGGAGAGGCTGTCCTGCAGCATCCCTCAAACCTACCTTCCTTGTGTCCAGTATAGGATGCCTACAGCATAGAGCCAGGGAAGGGCAAGGAGAGTGTCTTCCAAGGTCAGACTGTGGATTCTGAATTTTCTTTTGGGCTGGCCCCTGCAGGTCCTTCAGAATTACAGCAACATTGAGGAGGACTGTACAGTAGCCCCATCCTGGTGTCTGAAGGTTCGGGCTCGAGGCCACAGCTATTATCCTGCCTTAGAGCACCACATTCCCCAGTATTCCCTGGACGCACCCAAGGTGAGCATGGCGGGAGTGGGAGCGGGAGTGGGGACCCCAGCTCACACATCCCCACTTCTCTTTCTACATCCCATGTTCTTCCTGGCCATTCGAGGGCTTGCTCTTTGACCATGGTCCCAAGCACAAGAACAGTCTAGAGCAGCAGCCCTTTCTCACTCCATCGGAAGCCTTTACCTGGTCCTCTGCACTCTCCGACCCCTTCATTTGTCCTGCCCACTGAGCACCTGCTGGCTCTCAAGCCCTAGGCTTGACCAACCCAAAACACAAGCTCTGTTACTTCTGAGAGTCAGAATTCTCAGACCTCTTCCCTAGGTCCTTGGAGGTCTTGTCTGTCCTGGGAGATGGAATGACACAGGGCTGAAAAGTATATGGCCTGGGGCCAAGTCCCTAGAATCAAATTCTGCTTTTCCTTCCCAGCTTCCAGCTCTATAATCATTTTTTTTTTTTTTACTAGTCATTTTGTTATTGGGAAGTTGCCACTTAGAGACAATGGCTTGAGAGCATCCTCCTGCTTTTTTCTACCAGCTACCCTTCTGCTCTCCAATCCCAAACCTGTGCCACCTTGGTATCCGCCTCGAGGCCACCCCTTCCTGAAATGACACTCTCCCTGATGCTCAGAGTGTCTGCACTGATACCCTTAGCCCCCTTGGCATTTCCTCCCAGTGTGACCTGATGCCTTTCTGGAGTCCCGTGGCAGCCTGTGTTGCTTCTCTATTGACACATTAACTTGTTAGCACAACTGGATGGGAACTTGGACTAGGTACTATAATCCTTGTATTGTTTAGCCTGCTTAGCTTTTAGCCTAGTTCTGGCCATATCCAAGATGGCCATGAAGTGTTTAGGAGCCGGTATTGTTGAGGCTGATGCCCTTCTGACACCTGAGTGAGAATCAACTAGAAAGAGACAATGACCCTAGGCTTCTGAACCAGGCTGGGTGAAAAGTAGTCCTCCAGAGAGCAACTGGAAGACACTGCTAAAAACCAACTCTACCTCTGACCTTGAGGACAGGCCTTAGAAGCCTGACTTTCCTTGGGGCCTGGAATTGCCACATCCCTATGTCTGGAGGTCACCGGAGGACAGAAGTATTCCTTGGTGGCAGGCTGTGTTTTCCTTTAATTCCTGGGAATTCTTTGCTGGCTGGGCTGTGTGCAGAGATCTTGGGTCTCCTTGGAGATAGCATTGTCCAAAGCTGAGTGGCCCAAATGTGTGTCTAAGGATGGAGATCCCAGGAGAAGTCCTTTTCCCTCTTATTTTCCCCCCAATCCATAGACGTTCCCAGCTGTGTCCTCTGGAAAGCCCACCTACAGAAGCCTGCTTCTGGTCAACAAAGGCTCCATGATGCTGACCTTCAGCCTAGCTCCCAACAGCAGCTTGGACATCTCCCTGAGGCCTGCCTCTGGCCTCATAGCTCCTGGGGCCCACCAGGTCTTCCTCATCAACACATACCCCAAGGGCACCTCATGGAAGCAGCATGTCTTCTACCTGCAGTTCAACTTTTACCCCCAATATCTCAAGGTAGGACGCAGTGATAGAGGAGCTGGGTCCTTGGCCATAATCTGGCACTTGCTTTTTTAAAACCACATTTTCAGGGTCCTTGCCAAAACAGATATAGGGATGGGGGTAGGGGATGGGGTAGGGGTGGGGAACATCCCTCCAGGATGGAGGGATGGTGGAGGGGGAGCTCCAGACTCCCCCCCTGACAACTCTGCCTCCAAGATCCCAGACTCACACCTACAGGCAGTAGTGGGGTGTTTGCAGCCAGCCCAGGGACGGGGATGGATGGTAAACCCACATCTGACCCCAAGAAAGACTGACACATCCTCTCTTTGTCCCTGAGGGTTTGATATTTGTTTGTGTTTTTAAGACAATATATCACCAGGCAGTGGTGACATACTCGGGAGGCAGAGGCAGGCGGATCTCTGTGAGTTCGAGACCAGCCTGGTCTATAGAGCAAGTTCCAGGACAGCCAGGGCTACACAGAGAAACCCTGTCTCGGGAAAAAGCAACAACAACAAAGAGATTATATCACCATATATAGCCCCAACTGGTCTTGGACTCAAGGCAATCCTCCTGCCTCACCTACTCTAGTGCTGGGGTTTTCACTACACCTAGCTCTGGGTTCTTTTTAATCTGCTTTTGAGAGAAACTACTATATCCGGACTAGAAGACAGAATTGGCTGTCCCCTCCCAAGTGTGAAAATCTGCATAGCCATGCTTCCTAGGTATGTAGGGCGAGCCAAAAGGTCATGGCATCGTCTTTCCTTCCTTCCTTCCTTCCTTCCTTCCTTCCTTCCTTCCTTCCTTCCTTCCTTCCTTCCTTCCTGTCTTCCTGCCTTAGGAAGTAAGCATGCAGAGCAGAGAGGAGCCACTGCAGCTGAAGCTGGACACCTACAAAAGCATCTTCTTCAAGCCTACCTGGGTGGGATGCTCCTCCACCTGCACCTTCACCTTTCACAACCCCACACGGCTACCCCTGGAGTTCGAGTGGAGAGTCTCCCAGCAGCACCAAAAGATGCTGGCTGTCCAGCCCTCCAGGGGCATCATTCATCCTAACGAGAACGTTGTGAGTGCCTGGGCCCCCTTTACCTGTCACCTTTACCTTTGCCATCTCTTACCTGTGGTTCTCATGGCCTGCAATGTACACCTAACTAAGAAATCTGTAGTCACCTCCTCTAGACTGTGAGTAGGTTTTAGTTAACACCTCCCTCACCCTCATCTTACAGGAAATTGAGACTTAGGGGGAACAGTGTTTAAAAGACCAAGATTAAAAGTGCAGAATTGGGACTGAATGCAGCATTAGTGATGCCAGGGCCCAGGGCATGTCTAAACCTCATCATCCATGATACCCAAGCAACAAGATTCCTGGCAGGTAGTTTGAATCAGCTGGGTATGGGTGACTCTCTCAGAAGGGGGCGAGAAAGGAGACACCAGAGGTTCCAGATCAGTACAAAGTGGGGGACCCAAACCGTCACCAAAAAAAACCCAAAAACCTTTGTCCCTATTCTGAGGTAGGTCAGACTCCAAGGAATAACACCAGTGTGTGATACCCATGAACACCCATGGACAGGAAATGGGAGCCTCGGGGATCACACAGATGTAGAAAGCCACTTGAGATCCCGCCCCAGTGCGTTGCCGCCAGGTTTCTGACCCAGTCCAGTTATTCCACTTCTCTGAGGCTCCAGTTTCCTTCAAAATGAGTCTGGAAAATAACGCCACTGCCGGGTCATGGGGATGTAGAATTGAGGGGCTTCTGTGTGTAAAGTGCTCAGCACTTGGGTAAACAGGCAGACAGAAAGGACCAAGCTTTGGTAATGGGACCTCCCTGAGCCAGCAGTCCAGGAGGGGGTATCCTGGACACTTGCCTGTGAGAACAAATCATCTCTGTGACCCCAGACACTGACATGGATCTTCAGCCCTTTGGAGGAGACCAAGTACCTGTTCCGAGTGGGGATGTGGGTCTGGGAAGCCAAAGAGCCGAAAAAGGCCACACCTCAAGCCACCATGCACTACCGGATTCGGCTGGTGGGCATGGGCGTTACCGGATGCCTCTCTGTGAGTGGGAGCCCTGTTGGGGGTGGAGCCAGGCCCCATGTGGGAGGGAAAGTCCCAGGTGCCCAACCTTAAGAAGGCAGGAGACAAGATAGAGGACAAGATACGGATCCTTGCACACAACCTCAGATCCGCCTTTCCTTGGGGGATGTTTTGAAGACTAGGGGTTGGGGACACCCCCAGCAGCTGGCTGGCTGTGATCACAGGCAAAGCCAAAGGAGCTGGACTTTGGGAACGTACTGGTGAACAGCCGGGAGGTCAAGTCTTTGCTACTCCTGAATGATGGCAACTGCACCCTCTATTACCGCCTAGTCCTGGAGCAGCACAGGCCCAAAGGCCTCAACAATGACCCCTGTGGTACTGAGGCCTGGGCTGGGTCTGGAGCGAGGGAGGGTGGTGTGTGTGTGTGTGTGTGTGTGTGTGTATGTGTGTGGTCTGTGTGTACCTAAGACAGATGACCTGTACATGGCATGGGTCAGAAAAGAAAGCTGGAAACGTAGCATTTCCACATTTTAACTAAGGCAAATGCCATTGACATCAAGATGCATGGTTCTTTCTGACCCGGCCTTCTCTGCTATCAGGGAGTGTTGTGGTGACTCAGGGGAGAGTATCTGAGGAGAGGCCAGGCCACCTCTGTCCAGATGCCCAGTGATGACCCCTGCACCATCCCCCGGCAGCTCTAGAACTCAACCGCTCGGAGGGGACCATGCCACCTCATTCCCAGGATAGCATCACTCTGACCGCCTGTCCTAAAAGCCATTCCCAGTATTCCTGGACCATTAGCTACTGTCTCCTGTCCCACAGAGGTACCTGGGCACTTCGCAAAGATTCGGGGCCAGGAAGGGGAGAAGGGAAGAGGTGAATTGTGAGACACAGAACTGGAGGCATGCTAAGTCCAGGACAAGCTGGCAAGAGAGTGAGGGCAGGGCAGGACTGTGCCTTAGGGGGTCTGACGTGTGTAACTGTGTCTGCCCACGTGATATCTACACACGTGTCCCCAAGCTGTGAACACACAAGAGTTAGCAAATGTGCTGCCTTCTGTCAGAATCTCAGGCAAGTCCTCAGTCAAGCTCTAGCCCTCTCCTTCATGAGACAAAGTTGCTCTTCCCTGTGCCAGCTGAAAAGTTCCTGGGACAGGCATCAGAAGAATATTCACTCAAGGGGATTGGATTCCAACTCTCCCACACTTATTGGCAGAGTGGTGCTAGCTAGTTGTTTCACCTAAATAAGCCTCAGCTTCCCCATCAATAAAAAGGAGATAACCACAGACTACAGGCCACAGAAAAGAATGAAGTAGTAACATATGCCACTATATGCATGGGCATCAAAAGTGTGGCGCTAAGTGAAAGAAGCCAGTCAGAAAAGTCCAAGCACGGGCTGCAGAGATGGCTCAGAGGTTAAGAACACTGGCTGTTCTCCCAAAGGTCCTGAGTTCAATTCTCAGAAACCACACGGTGGCTCATAACCATGTATAGTGAGATCTGGTGCCCTTTTCTGGCATGCAAGTGTACATGCAGACAGAATGCTGTAAATAAATAAATAAATCAAAAGAAAAAAAAAAAAAAAGCCAAGCACTGAATGATTCCATGCTTGAAGCACTCAGAATAGATTTAAAAAAAAAGAAAAAGCACAGAGATGGAGAATAGACTAGTGATTGCTAGGAATGGGGGAAGAGTACCTGGGGAGTGTTGACTGGTTGGTACTGAAGTTTTGGGTTTTTTTTTTTTTTTGGTGGGGGGTAACAACAGAAACTTTCTAAAATTAGTGTTGGTGGTAGCATTTCTCTGTGAATATATAAGGCCCATTGTGTGTGTTAAGGAGTAGTTTTTACAGACTGTGAAGTATGCTGTATTGCAATGAGTTTGAAAATAAATAGTAGTGCAAGTTAAAGTTAAATAAATGCCAGACTGTGTGCTATAACAGGACCGTGCCCAGCACGTAGAAAGTCTTAGGCAAGGGTTGGCCACCGTGTCTGACCAGGGTTCTGCGCCTACCCCCAGGGGAACTGAACCCTCTGCTCTCCCCCACACTCATGTCCCCAGATAGCATGCCTGGTGAAAAGCAACAACTGTGCCTTGTCTCCCTGGTGGCTGTGTACCCTTTACTCTCCATCCTGGATATCTGCTCCATGGGCAGTGCTGAGGGCATCACTCGCAAGCACCTATGGCACCTCTTCTCCCTGGACACACTCAATAGTTACTTAGCACGCGACCCAACCGAGAAGGAGCTCACCTACAAGGTGCCCACCCGGCACAGGTAAGCTCGACTTGGGGGCAGGCAGGACATAGTGGCAATCACAAACTGCCTACCCACCACCCAACACTAGGCCTTTCCCAAGAAGATGACGGTGAGGGGGCCCTAAATTCTTAACTGTTCCTAGAGCAAGGCAACAGTTGGCTTGAGCTCTAAGGAGCTATCTCAATGATCCCGAATTCCAAATTTTTCACCTTGTACCTGGGGATGGGCACCCAAGGTTAGAGCCCCGAGTTGTCTCCAATGCCAGCACTGAGCCATTTCTCCGCTTCGCACAGCATGAGCCACACACCCCCTGTCTTCACGCCTCTGAAGCTGGATTTCAATTTTGGAGCAGCACCACTCAATGCCCCACCCTCCGTGGTGCTCCTCGTACTGAAGAACAGTGGACTGGTGCCCTTGGACTGGTATGGCTGGGCAGAAAGGGGATGCTACGAGGGTCTGGGGACAGAGCCGTAGAGGCCAGGAGTAGGGAATAGCCATTTCCTTCCCGGGAAACCCACCTGAGGTCTGCAAGTGGGCCTCCCACTGACAGGGTAAGGGGGCCCAGGGGAGACCACAGTTTCCCGAAGCACTTGGGAGATGTCACTGGCCACAGCTGGGCTCCTGGCAACTGGTCACAGCAATATCAGTAACCGAATGAATGATACAGACCAGCCCCTGTGTTCTTCCAGCCTTCGGTCCTTGACCTTTGCAGTGTCCCTGTGAGAAAGACCTCTCCAGGCTTTCTCAAAAGACAGTGCCTGAGTGTCAGTGGACTAAGACCTCAGTCAAAGCCACGCAGCTCTTAGAGGCAGGGCCAGGTTCGGATCCAGATGTACCATCTCCGGGGCACCTGCCCACCCTCGTTAGTCAGCAAGAAGGCTTCAAGTTGCTTCTGTACATGAGGACTGGCACCACACTGAGTGACAGATTGCTGGGGCTGGGGCCAAATGGAGGCAAGTCTAGGCTGCCATGGAAGACAGGCATCTCCTGCCACACCGGAGCCTACCACCAGAGGGCACGATTGAGCAAAGCTATCCCACCACAGGGAAGGAAAATAGTTGCCTGGCAGGTCACAGGAGGCCAGGTCTAAAGACCTGAGCCTACCAAGCCTGTCCATTCTCCTGTTGTTCTGCCCTCTCATGAGGGCCCAGAACTCACGCCCAGCAAGCCACCTGGTTCCACATCACATTCCTGGTGTGAACACACTTAGACTTCTTAGTAAATGTCTGTTAACAGACTTTCAGTTCTGGTTGGCTAATGAGAAGTATGAGAGAAGGGTCCTTATCTGGATCAGGCTGAGAGAGTCAAGGCCCAGCCTGGGGGTGTGTTGTGGGAAGGTGAGTGAGTGAGAGAATTCAAGAAGAAACACTGGGGTCAGGACCTGCTGGCCTGAGCAGAGGCCATCTTGGGAGTGGAGAGTGAAGGAAGACGCTCTTCACTGACAGGCCTACAATGGTTACCCCTAAACTCTGACTGCCCCAGGCCTTCACGGTGGTTAGATGGAGAGGTTGGCTCATTATGTGGCAGCTATAGTAGGATTGTGAATAACTATAGATCCTGACAGGACTGCTTAGCCTGGTTGGGAAATCCCAGAGCCCATCCTGGGCTTAGACGTGATAGCGGCTGTCCTAAGCAGGCCAGGAGCCAGTGTCTTTAGAACACAGGGCATTGGCCTGTCTCCTGGGATATTTTGGAAGACATAGGCATGCGTGTGTAGGAGCAACCCAGCTCACACACACTGTGGAGAAGGTCCACAAGGTTGGCAACCAGGAAGACAGACAGGACCCAGGTAGAGAGCTCCCTGAACTGGATCCTGCCGGCAGAAGATCTCTTAAAAGTACAGGAAGCCTTGCCGTGCCTCCTCCAGAGCTCGACTTTTTCCTGTGCGTTTTGTGCTGTGGTTCACTTCACTTTCTTAGAAGACTAAATTTTTGCAAATCTAGCATCTCTCTGCTGAGCTCATGAAGAAAAGATGGGGACTTTTATTCTCACCTGGACCAGTGATGCAAGGAGAGCATGGAGTTGCCTTAGAGATGGCAGGATGAAGGGGATCCCCAAGTTGGGGTAGAGGATCAGAGAACCACGGAGCTGCCTTCTCCCCTCAATCCTTCTCTCTCCCGGGACTTGTGCTGTGTTTGAGTCTGGCATATGGTTGCAAGGTTCCTCGCATTCCAGAGGACAGGCTCTTAAAGACATCAGATACGCTGTTATTTGTTCACTAGGGTGCTCTTATTTCACTGGCTACATCTGTCTCAGGTATTTCCTACAATTAAGCTTCAGGTCCGTCCCAAGAACAGAAATAGGGACCAGGCCAGTCCCTGCGCTCTGGGAGCAACAGGAACCCGGGGACAGCAGCCTCCCAGGACAGGGTGGTGTGCCGGGAAGGAGGAGGGTGTGGACTCACAGCGTCACTGACCACTTCAGGCAGGGTGATGGTGAGATCAAAGAGACTTTCTGGAGGGCTCAGGAGTACAGTGCTTGCTGAGCATACGCAGAGCCCCCATTTCAATCCTAGCATGGTGAGGAGGAAGAGGAGGAGGAATTTTGGAAGACAGCAAGAAAAGGAGGACCTTGAAAAAGCTGGAGATACAGGCAGGGGCAGGACATGAAGGGCCTTAACTTGTTAAGAGGCTGGTGAGATGTGAGCTGCAGAAGGGAACAAAGGCCTGGCTCCATGACCTGTCAGTCTGATCTCCAGGGGATGGTAGGTTAGGAGGGTGGTGTTGTCCTCCAGCTTTCAGGAGAAAGTGTGTGCATTAGAACAAGTCAAGGGAAAGGCAAGATAATCATCTCATCAGTAGACCAGTGAAGTGACTGTGTGTAAAGGAGATACAGAAACTTCCCAGAGCATCCCGAAATAGCGAGAGCTCCCCCTCTGCCACTGCTCAACATGCCCCCAAATAAAATGTGTTGTTGATTATTAATATTTATTATTGATTTATCTTTTAGTTAAACAGCAGTTATTCCTAAACCAGCTGTATACCCAAATCACCACACAGAGACTAGGATGTATTTAGTTAACCTAGAGCACAATGCTGGGCAGTGATTACTCCATCCTAAACCTCCAAGCCCACATAGCTTCCTCACCTTCAGATTTTATACATTATACTTGCTTTTAGTCATATCTTAGGTCCGGTTCATCCCTCCTGGTGGTTCCAAGTCCTGTCCTCTCTGATCTCTCTTCCCGACTCCTCCCACTCGCTTCCTTCTCCTCCCCTCTGGACCAGGATGTCCCACCCTATTCTCTCCATTGCTCAGCATTGGCTGGTTGTTTTATTGACAATACAGAGAACAAATAGTGGCATGTTTACACAAACTTGAGACAGGTGATGCTTAGAATAAGCATCACATGGAATGTCCGATTGAAAGCAGATAGTGGCGTAGAGAAATCAGCATTCAAATGAACAAGGGTATATTGTACACATCCCACAAGGACATTATACCAGCAAAAATGAGAAAAGCCGCACTCACCTGCATCAGGCCAAGCCATACAACCGATGGGAGAAAATTCAGAAGCCCCAGCCTCAGGCTCATATCCACTGCTGGGGTGGCCGGGGCTTGGGCATGTTCCCCCCTCAGCATTTATGCCACACACAGACAGCTGTATGCTCTGCAGAAGGAATCCCCCTCCAGAATGTGTGCTGTGAAGGAAGAATGGTGGAGTGGAGTATACATGTAGACCTGGTACCTTCTTTTTATCAGTTGCTCGGTATTCTACAATATAAAGGGACTTAAGTGATTAGGCCACTCCTTTATTGGAAGATTTTTTTTCCACCACCATAAAGAAAGTTTCATGTATAGATGTATATGTAAATATCAGTTCGTGGGACTGAGGAGACAGTGCAGAGGCTATGGTAGTTTGCATGAAAACGGCCCCATAGGCTCATAGAGTCTGGTACTATTAGGAGGTGTGGCTTTGTTGGGGTAGGCGTGGCCTTGGAGGTACTGTGTCACTGTGAAGGTGGGCTTTGAGGTCTCAGATGCTCCAGCCAGGCTTAGTGGGGCAGGCTCCTGCTGCTGCCTGCAGTTCAAGTTTAAAACTCTCAGCTCCCTCTCCGGCACCATGTCTGCCTGCATGGCGCCATGCTTCTTGCCGTGATGATGATGGAGTAAACCTCTGAACTGTAGGTGGACCTCAATGAAATGCTTCCTTTGTAAGAGCTGCCGTGGTCACGGTGTTTCACAGCAGTGAAACCGTAACCAAGCTTGTTATGCAAGCACGAGGTCCTGAGTTAGGAGTCCCAGAACCCATGTAAGGCCAGCCACAGTAGCACACGTCTGTAATTCCAACATTCCTGTGGCAAGATGGGAAGAGGAGACAGGACAGTCATTCCCAGAAGCTAAGCCTGACACCCACAGTGGTAAACAAACCCTGTCTCAACAAGATGGAAGCCAAGGACTGACACCCACCGTTGTCCTCTGACCACACGCATGCTGTGGCACACTCACACACATGCACACATATGTCATATACACACATACACAAAGATGTTTTAAGATGTTCAGTGTGTGTTGGTATATTTCCATGTCTGCATTTTAATCATACGGGTGGTTTCCCAAGAGTAGGACTTGCGGCTCAAAGGACATGTGTGTGTTTTGTCTTAGTACATGCTGCCGAATTCTTTCCAAAAGCTAGCAGGACTCCCCTCTCACTCTACCTGTGTTTGGGGATGTCTGCTCTTTCTGAACTTTTCCATCACTATAGGCATCTATTTTTCAAATCTCCTGTGTGATAGGAAAGAAGGCAGAACTCTTGTGATTTTGGAGTGCAGTTCTCTGACTCCTGTTGAGGCTTATTGCCTCTTTTGCCTTCCATTTCTGGATGCCCTTCCCTGACTCACTTTGATGCTGGGGACAATTCCCTTCCGTCTCTCTGAAAGAAAGAGTTCTATAGAATGATGGCCTTGGGACCTCTCATCACTGCTTTCAGCAGCTGGTTGGAGGGCGATGTCCACTTCGCTACCATGTGAGGCCTTGTGAGGTTGCTCTTCACACTCTTCCTTGCTTTAAGATCACCTGTCCTCTGGGCACCTGTTCTGTACCCCGTGTTCAAGCTAACTTCAACACCCTTTTTCCCAGGGGTCCCTGAGTGGTCCTGCCAGCATTCCCAAGGGTTGCAAATGCTCTCCCTGAGAGGTTATGAAAGAAGGACCCAGTGGCCAGTCCTAAGTGACTCACATATACACGTGACACACTTGGCTCCTGGTGTCCAAAACGAGAGCTGCCGTCTTCACTGTTCATTATTCATTCTGGGTCTGCTTCTGTCTCTAGTTAGTGTTTGTTTGTTTGTTTGTTTGTTTGTTTGTTTGTTTGAAGACAGTGCCTTAGTCATTATTCTATTGCTGTGGTGAAACACCAATTTAAAACAACTATTTTAAAAGGATGCATTTAATGGGGTTCTTGCTTACAGTTTTAGAGGGTTAATCCATGATTATCATGTTTGGGAGTACATGGGCATGATGCTGGAGAAGGAGCTAAGAGCTCACATCCTGACCTGCAAGTAGCAGACAGGGAAAGAGCGAGACTGGGCCTGACAGGGATTTTGAAAGCTCAAAGCCCACCCCCAGTGACACACCTGCTCCAACACGGCCACACCTCCTTCAGCAAGGTCACACCTCCTAATCCTCCCCAAACAGTTCCACTGATGAAAAGCATTCAGAGGGGCCATTCTCATTCAAATCAGCACACAGGGTCTTACTCTTTGTTTGTTTGCTTGTTTTGTTTTTCGAGAGAGGGTTTCTCTGTGTAGCCTTGGCTGTCCTGGACTGGCTTTGTAGACCAGACTGGCCTTGAACTTGCAGAGATGTGCCTGCCTCTGCCTCCCTTAGTGCTGGGATTACAGGCATGTGCCATCATGCCCAGCTAAGGTCTCATTCTTTAACCCAGGCTAGTCTGGAACTCACTATGCAGCACAAGTTGACCTTGACTTTCAGCAATCCTCCTGCCCAGTCACCCAAGTGCTGCTATTACAGGTGTGAGCCACCGTGCTGGCTATTTCTGGGTTTGGGGGCATTTATGAAAGGAGACTCTGCCTAGCTACAGTTGCTCACCAGAACATAGGTCAACTCATGAAATGGGGGTGCAAAGTGCGGAAGGTATGGTGAAAGCCCCTCTGCCTGCCTGTCTTTCCAGATGACTTAGACTCTGCATGGCTTCACTCTTCTCACTTGCCTCCCCCAGGGCCTTCCTCTTTCCAAGCGACCAGCAGCTAGACACGGATCTGTGGGCAGATGAATCAGAGCTCAACTTCGCTGAGCTCCACCAAATGCGTGCAGAGGATAATTGCCTCTTCATCATCAACCCCAAGACTGGAAGCCTGAGCCCTGGGAAGGAGCAGATGGTGGAACTCAAATACAGGTGTTCCCAAACCCCCCTCTACCATGCCCTTCCTTCAAAGAACTCCCTAGCCCTGGCTTTTGTCTATATGACTCCAGGGGACCCAAGACAATCCCCTGCAGGAGAGGCCTATGTCATCCCCGTCTGTCCCAATTCAGATGTGGTTGTCTGACCCAAAGCCACACTTGTTTTCCCATCCAAAGAAGACTCCGGAACTCACTGTCCAACTTGTCTCCGCCCTTCCAGCCACCTGTTTATCGGCACTAATCACCTCTCTGTGCTCTTCAAGGTGTCCCATGGACGGGAGATCCTGGTAAGACCTCACGCCCCAGTCCTGCCGGGGTCTGGGGACTGGCTCCAGGAGCTCTTTGGACATCCAAGAGAGGAGCTGGAGTGTTGCCCCCTGGGGCCCTGGGGCCCGTCTCTCAGCTGGGTCTGCCCGTTCTTGCCCTACGTGGGCTCTTTATTTCCAGCTCCACTTCATAGGCGTGACGGTAAAGCTGGAGCAGAAGTACGTGCACTTCACCTCTGCCACCCACCAGTTCATCCCTGTCCCCATCGGCGACACGCTGCCCCCACGCCAGGTCGGTGGTCTGTGGGACCCTGTCACTAAAAGGCCTAAGTGTTGGTCTCTGTGTGTCCGGGTCAGTCCTTACAGGCTTACAGACCCTGCGCCACATGAAACAACTGGGAAGATTTAAGGCCACAATCTTCTGGCACTAAAGCCCTTTGGTCAGTCTCCATTCCCAGGCGGAAGTATTTTTCCCCATTAGCCCAGGGATCTTCCATCTTCCTGACCATGCATTATTAGTGTTAATAATACATTTTAAGTCATTTGTGGCTCACTCCAGTGCTTATAAATACGCTCAGCTAGAATTACTGCAAATCCGTACTTAACCTCCTACATACAAAGTACACAAATAATGTCTCTTCTGTGTAGCCCTGGCTGTCCTAGAACTGACTATGTAGACCAGGCTGGCCTCAAACTCAGAGGTCTGCCTGCCTCTGCCTCCTAGGCACTGGGATTAAAGGTGTGCACAACCATCACCCAGCTCAAATAATGTCTTTTTAATTTTATCCTGTCCTATGTCATAAATGCCAGCTATGACCCACTCAGTTTATCTAGACATGTTGGCTAAGAGGTCTCAGCCACAGTCTGGAAATGATTGCTTTTAGAAGCACATCTTTCCAGAGAACAGAGGGTGGGAATGTGAGTCTTTAGACTTGCAAGCTTTTTCTTTCTTTTTTGTGTATGTCTATGTATGTGTGTGTATAGGTTTGTGTGTATACATGTGTATATGTGTATACATGTTTATGTGTTCATTTTTGTGTATGTGTGTAACAGGCTTGTGTGTACATGTTTGTGTATGTGTGTTCATGTTTTTGTGTATACAAGCTTGTGTGTGTGCATATGCTTGTATGTATACATATTTGTGTGTATGTGTGTACATGTTTGTGTGTATGTGTATATTTGTGTATATGTGTGCATGTATATAAATGTGTGTGTGTGTGTGTGTGTGTGTGTGTGTGTGTGTGTGTGTAAGCCAGAGCTGGACATCAACTTTTTTTTTTTTAATCATTGTGCACCAGTCAGTTTAGCCAGTCTGTGAGTTCCAGGAAAAGAGTAATCAAGGGGAACACCTATGTGATTCTGGCCTCCCCATGTATATGCAGATGTGTGTACATGCACACACATTGGAAAGGGAGAGAGAGAGAGAGAGAGAACATGCAAGAGAGAGTGTTCTTACAGTTCTGAGGGCTGGGAAGTCTAAGATGAAGGCCAGGTGAGGGTCGAGATTTGTTGGTGTCTGGTTTGTGCTTGTGCTCCTGGCTCCCACACATCTCCTCCAGGTTTCCCCATGCGGCAGAGAAGGCAAACAGGCTTTCTTAGGCTGACATGACTTTCAGGATGTCTCCACCCCCTTGACCTATCACCTCCTGAAAGACCTCACCTCTGTTTTTTAATAAAATACTTTAATTAATTATTTTGAGAACTTTATACTTTCATACAGTGTATTTTCACCTGCCACTCCTCTCCCTGACTCCTCCCAGATCTACCCTCATTTCCCCACCTCCTCCCAATTTCCTGTCCTCTTTTTTTTTTTTTTTAACTGACCCACGAAGTCCAATTTCTGCTATCTGTATGTACTGTCATGTATTGTCATGGGTGTGGGGCTACCCACTAGAGCTCGGTCAGTCATCAGTACCTCCTCAGTCGGGTGGGGATGGGGCGCTACAAGCCCCTCCTCCCCTTCACAACAGAGTGTTAATTGGGTGAGTCTTGTGTAGGTAGCCACAGGTGCTGGGAGTTCATGAGTGCGGCCATCTTGTCATGTCCAAAAAAATACTATTTTACTCTGGCCCCGGTCCTGCCCATCTTCTGGCTCTTACAGTCTTCCTTCCCCTCTTCTGCAACAGGCCCCGAGCCTTGCAGGGGCTTACGATACTTATGTCCCACTTGTAGCTGAGCAGTACACAGACACTTCTTTTCTGCTCTCTGATCAGCTGAGAGCTTCTGTGTGAACCATCCACTGTGTGGAGAAAGTGCTTTGATGAGGCTTGAGAACCACACTGGGCGCAGTGATACAAAGTTAAGGGGCAGTTTGATGTCATTTGGCAAAATAATAGTAGTAAGTTCACCGCTGGGGCCTCTAAGAGATGGCCAGCCATGGGTTCTAAACACGGAGAGGGGCCTGATCAGTAAGTATCTGGTTTTCCCCCAGAACACGTCATTATTGCACTCATGGGTGTGGCTTTGCCACTAGGGTCATTGTTATAGTTTGCAGGTTCACAGTTGGGTAGGACTGTTGGTGATTCCCTCAGCACCGCCCTTCCCCACCCTCCCCCACTGCCACTCCCCATACTGAGGACTACCCAGCAAGAAGGAAGTGGCCTATCAGTGCCAACTTGATTTTTACAGCGGAGATTAGGGTGCAGCCTATGAGCTTGGGTACAGAGTATCCAGCCTGAAGCACTGTATCTCAAGATCCGTGAGATGGACCAGGCTAAGAAAGAGAAGAAAGGTCCAGGGCCAAACCCAGGTGAATTCTTTGTTCCTCTCCGGTTTTAGTACTCTTAGCTCTGAGAAGAAGCATTAGACCAGAACAGCTCTGTTTTTCGGAGGCAGCCTTCAGTTTTTCAGAACCCTTTCCCTAGGCTATTTTAAGAAGATTTCCTCTAATAACAGAGTGACAGTCTTCATGGTGGACTAGATTGAAAGTCTTCGATGATAAAGGTTCTGGATGGTGTATAGGTATGTGGACATTTCCCCAAACCCCAATGTGAGGGACACTTACGCTAGGGTCTTTTATAAACTTGGCAAGTGTAAATTGAGAGCAAATGAGGTAAGTGGCTGCTTTACAAACAGAATTTCTGATTATCCTAAAATTTTACAGACTGAATATCCAAGTATTGAGCCGTAGGGGAAAATGACAGGGAGGTGGGCTCAGAGACCTTCAGAGTTACCGTGGCGATAATGTGCCCCCCGCAAAGTGGGTACCTGTTCTACAGTCTCAAGCTGTCTGTCTGTCTCCCCATCTCTTCCCTTGCAGATTTACGAGCTGTATAACGGTGGCTCCGTTCCTGTGACGTACGAGGTCCAGACCAGTGTTCTGTCACAAATTCAAGAAAAAAATTTTGATCATCCTATTTTCTGCTGCCTGAACCCCAAAGGGGAGATCCATCCAGGAACCACTGCTCGGGTTCTGTGGATCTTCTCACCCATCGAGGCCAAGACCTACACGGTAAGCAGTTGGGCTTGGAGCTGTGACTTCCTCCCTGTGTCTTGATTTCACCAGTTCCTTCCTCCACTGCTGTCATTTCCCAGGTGGACGTACCAATACACATCATTGGATGGAATTCAGCTGTCATCCGCTTCCAAGGAGTGGGATATGACCCCTATATCATGGGTGACACCGCCCCCTTCCACAACCTCTTCTCATGGGACAACAACTCCACCTACTCTCGGCTGATGGTTCCTGGGCAGGTGGGAGAAAGGGAGCTGGGAGAAACTGAGGCAATGGAGAGCCTTAGAGTCAAGGGTGGGCGGTACTGAAGGCTACAGAGAGAAGGAGATTGGTTACGGAGGGGAGGAGGGATGAGAGCTGGAATTAGCCTGGCTCCAGCTTTAAAGACAGCACCCGCTTACCCTGTCAGCTGATGACTAGTATTCCTGCTTGGGACACCTCAGCTACTTTAGGACCCTTGATCCAACCCTTTTCTGTGAGCGTGGGGCTGAGGGATATTGCAAGATTTAGAAAGAAATCCTCCTATCCTGGGTGCCATCTTCAGACAGAGCAGTCCCTCTCGTGGGTCCAGGTGGATTTTGCTCAAGAGATCAGGGGTCACCAATACTGCTTCTAGTCCACATGCTTCTTATTGTTGGGAGGCCTGGCCCACTCTCCTAGTGATTCATCTATTCAGCTACCCTGTGGTGTACTTTTCCATCTACCCACTGAAGCCCATACCGCTTTCTAATCTATGTATCTTCTATGCAACCATCTACTCTTAAACCCCCACACAATCACTACACTGAACATTTTTCTGTTAAGAGCTCCGTTATACCCCTAAGTCAGGATGCACACTGGAAGCCCTGTGGACACAATAGGCTCTGGGGTGAGGCTCTTGGAAGTTATCCTAGCTCTACACGTGAGAGAAATTTAGAAAGGTCGTTTCTGTCCCCTGAACCTTAGCAACACACTCAACACGAGAGAGTAACTGTGCCCGCAGCATAGGGCCACTGTGAGGGTCAGATGTGAGGAAAACTCCTGACATCATAATTGGCCAGTTGGAAATGCTTAGGAAACAGCAATGTTTCAATGGTTTCTTCTTCATGCCCCCGAAGCTGATGCTATGCTGTCTTCACTGACAGAATGTCTTCTTGTCCCAGTCTCATGTCTCTCTGGGAAACATCCCTGTGCAGAGCAAGTGTAGCCGTTTGCTCTTTCTCAACAACATCTCCAAGAATGAGACAATTGTCTTCACCTGGCAGCCAAGGACCTTAGACTTCGGAGAGGTGAGAGTCCATTTGCTCCCAGAATGAGAACTTAGGGCAAGACTTCAAACTCCTTCTGAACTGCCTCATCTCCCCTCAACGTATCCCTCCCCATTCCATCCCAGCCTAGCCTATTCCATCCCATCTTGCCCTATCTTATCTCATACTATGCTCTCCGATCCCATCCCATTATTTCCTGTACCACACCATCTTATCCCATTCCATAGTATCCATAGTATCTTGCTCTGTCCTATCCTATTCCAACTTCCCTTATTCCATCACACCCCATCCCGTCCCATCCCATCCCATCCTGTCCCATCCCATCCTGTCCCATCCCATCCCGTCCTATCCTGTACCACTTTACCTCAGCCCACCCACTGCCATCCTTCCTCCAAATCCACAAACTCTTTATCTAAATCAACAGGTAACTGTGAGTCCTGTGGAAGGAGAAGTGGCTCCTGAAGGGGCAGCCCCAATCTTAGTGACCCTGAAGACCTCCGTTCATGCCTGCTTCTACAGCGTGGACCTGATATGCAAGGTAGGGACCGCCACAGGGAAACACATAGGCGTTGAGACACAGCTCCCAATTATGGGATAGTGGAGGACTCTGAGATCTCCAAACCCTCAGAGAAAGGCAGGAGCCAGCTCTCAGAAGGGCTCAGGGTAGGCTCACGCTGAGACCCTCCAGCTCTAGGCCTTCTCTCCGCTTGTGCTGGGCCCAGGTATACCGGCAAGAACTCATGCGGCAATATCACAAGGAGCTACAGGAGTGGAATGAAGAGAAGGCCCGGCAGGAGGTGGAGTTCACCATCACGGATAAGAAAGTGAAGGTGAGGAGTGCTCAGTGAGCCCCCCACTGCCGGACTCCACCAGAAGAGAGAGTGCTGACTGGCTGAGGTGGCCCTCCATAGGAACCTGGCCAACCTGCTTTTACATTCTGCTCACTAGCATAGCAGCTCCACAGCCATCCTGGACCACCCAATGTGAGGAAGGCTGGTGGGCAATTCCCTGCGCTACACGGGAAGATGCATGCCAGTTGTGTGCTGAGAACACAAAGGGAACCTTACAGAGCTCTCACCTTCTGATGAAGGACACCATGGCCTAGTGGCCTTACATGCAGGCTCTAGAGAGAGACCTGGGTTTGATTCTTGGCTTCAACCTTTGCTAATTATGTGACCCAATAACATAAATTAGGGATTTTGTTCAAGATAATCCACAGGTGAGAGACAGATGTGGTAAAAATGGCCATGAGTTGTTAATAGTTAGAGCTGAGTGACTGAACAATGGTAATTCTTTGTAGCATTTGCTCCCTTTTTGTATACAAAATACGGGGTTTGGGCATTTAGTTTTGGTGTTTGTTTGTTTTGTTTTTTGAGACAGGGTTTCTCTGTGTAGCCCTGGCTATCCTGGACTCACTTTGTAGTCCAGGCTGGCCTTGAACTCACAGAGATCCACTTACCTCTGCCTCCCAAGTGCTGGGATCAAAGGTGTGCATGACCACACCTGGTCTGGGGGTCAGTTTTTAAAACAGGGAGTTGGATAGTTCCTGTCTCGGCATCTTAAGTGTGAAGGTTACAGGCAGGAGGTATCCCACTCAGTCAACAATAAATGTTTTGGTTTTTTTTTTTTTTAAGATTTGTTTATTTTATGTGTGTGAGTGTTCTATCTGCATTTACATCTGCCGGAAGAGGGAATCAGTTCACATTATAGATGGTTGTTAGCCATCATGTGGTCGCCGGGAATTGAACTCATGACCTTTGGAAGAGCAGACAGTGCTCTTAAACCACTGAGCCATCTCTCCGGCCCAACAATAAATGTTTTAAAATATGTTCTAATGGTGGTGAGATCTCCACTTTGGAGCTACTGCTGTGAGCATTAATACCCACAGAGTGCCTATAACCAAGACTGGTATCCAGGGACCATTTCTGAAACGCAGGCTGCATTATAATCTTCAGGGAGGCCAAATATTAAACATAAAACATCTTGATTCCTCCTCACTTTACCGCCTGCCTACACTCATGTTTTTATCCCTCAGTCTTCTCTGTGACCACCGCATAGCACTCTCCAGGAGGCTCAGCTCTCCAGGAGACTTGGGCCTCTGTGAATACAGATCATATAGGGAAGTAAGGCTGCTTTCCAGTCTTCAGAATTGCAGGCTGTTTTCTTGTCTCTCTGAGTTCCAAAGACCCAGGGTGCCAAGGGCACACACCTTCGGGGCCAGCCTCCCTACATTTGATCACATTTCCTTCTCTATCCTTCACTTGACTGAACAGATTTTCCTTGTCTGTTCCCAGGCGCCACTTACCCAGAGAAGGTTCTAGAAGAGGGTAGCACTGGGGGGTGGGCAAAACCCAGAGGGATGCAAAAAAGATGGAGGTGGACATGACTGGGGCTGTCACATCCTAAGCTGGCCTCTCTCTTGCAGAAGAAAACATTTTGCACAGCCTGTGAACCTGCAAAAAAGTACAAGGTGAGCCCAAAAGCCTCAGGCCATTCTTGGGATAACTGAGAAAATTCTTGCTTGTCCCCAGAGACAAGCCCCGAGCCAGCCTCCTAGACAGAAGGGAGGACAGTACTAATAGGCAAGTCCACAACCCTAGGGAGCTACGCCAGGGGACCTGATGACGGTTGGGATTATGCTTGCCCTGTCACCCGTGCTTGCCTCTTCCCAAAGACGCTGCCTCCCATCACAAACCACCTGTGTCTGGGCCGGCCCGCCAGCTGGAACCTGAAGGTGGCAAAGGAGAAGACATCATGGCCGTGTCCTCAACCACCTGTGCCAGGCCTGCTCTGTCTAGGCCTCACCGCGAGGGCCCATGCCATCGACTACTACCTGGCCAACTTCTTCTCAGAGTTTCCCTGCCACTTCCTGCACCGGTGAAGCCCTGGGGAAGCTTGGGCCACCTTCCTCTAATCTCAATCCTCTCCCCCTTTGTACAACAGTGGTATCCACACTCGGTCTTTAGGAAGGACTGAAGCAAGAACAGGGTGGATGAGAAGTCATTGGGCACTATGGGCCCAAGATATCACCATTATTGTTTATGTCCTTTTGAAGGGAGTTGATAAAGAGGCCCCCGAGGAATCCACCAAGGCTTCCCACTCTCTTCTTTGGCCAACCTGGAGCCTCTGGGTCCTGTTCTAACCTAAGGGTTGGGTGTGGCTCTCTGAGTACAGTAACTACATTTTCTTAAGACTGGGAATGTGCCCAGAATATTTTATGTCCTCATGACTGGGTAGCTGCCATCATGGCTTGTACGCCCCTGCCACAGCATATTAACATTCCAAGTTCATTCAGAATATCACGGTCTACTCCAGGGAGCTGCCAAAGAAGAAATCCTTCAGGGAAGAGACGAAAGCCTTTGAGGAAGAACCCCTGGACAAAGTGAGCCCTGACTCGAGGCAGAAGAAGCAGATTGTGGTTGACTGCCTCTCCTCCATCATCAGGTACCCTCAGCTCTGTGCGCCTTCATTCTCTAGCCACCTCTCCAGATGCATCAGCCAAAGCTTCTGAAGCCCCATGACTTCTCTCCCTGACAAAAAAGAGAATTCCTTTGCAAGATCCCTCTGCTGGAGGACCCTTGGGACAGACCAGGTCTGATAGAGCTGTTAGGTGAACCTTCAAGGCTGAGTCCTGATCCTCTCACTTTCTGTAGCTAGTCTGATGCCATCTAGAGCCAGTTAATTCCCCAGGGCCTCAGGAGACCTGCCTTTTATCTGTGTCATTCTGACTTGCTGGCTATGCCTGCATCTCACCCTGCTCACCTTTAAGACATCATAGGGCTCAAAGATGCCTTGTTCCAAGGGCTCTCCTCCCTGACCTAGCTAGAACTGCCCCTTGGGCAACAAGAAAGGCAGAGTTGCCTTGGCTGTAAGCAAGATTACATCTGATTCCATCTCCTTTTTTTTTTTTTTTTTTTCCTGCCCAGGGGCCTGCTGGAAGACAAGACTTTTCAAGAAGCTGTGGACCAAAGCCTGGTGGAGCAGGTGCCTTACTTCTGCCAGTTCTGGAATGAGCAGTCAGCCAGACTCCTAGCCCAGAAGAGCAGCTTGTATTTAATGCCAATCCTGTCCCTGTCCTCAAGCTGCTTTGAGGAAGAGAAAGACAAAGACCAGGAGGAGGACAAATACACCCTTGAGAAGAAGTTAAGAGATGAAGAAGAGGTTGAGCTGGAAGAGGAAGTGGCAGAAGAGGAGGAAGTGGAGGAGACAGAAGAGGAGCCAATCAAGGAGGAAATGGAAGAGGAAATGGACAAGGAAGCAAAATTGACCTGGTCAGTGATGAAGGCTGCCACACCGCTGTCTAAGTCCCAGCAGGCCCTGCAGTGGCAATGGCAGCAGGATCTGAAAGCCATAATAAAGGAGGAGCAAGAAAATGATGAGAAGGAAGCCATTGGAAGGTGAGCAGCTGGGACCAGGTGAGGACAGGGGAGAGAGATCCTTACCCAGAGGCTGGCCCCAACTTGCCCGTGATTCTCTTCTTAACTCAAGGTCTAGTGACAACCCCTTGGGTTAGTATAAGGTTTGGATGGGAGGATTTTCAAAAGAGCAGAACCCAGCTTTGTGTAGCGTGTGATACCTGCTTGGTAGCACTTACCAGGAGAGGGGCGGTCACCTTTAAAGTCTCTTCTTCAGTGGATGGTTAGGACCAGAGGCCCATTACCACTTCTGATGTGGCCTTTCTTCTGCCACTTTCTCCTGGGGCCTTTTGGGGGGGGGTGCATTTCCTTCTTTTGGGATTCCTTGGCACCACACAACCTCTTCTTCATCCTCTCATCGCTACCATCCTCCAAACCTGGCAACTACATCACCTAGGTTTGAATCTCAGCCACACAGCTAGCATCTGTGAAATTGCAACAAGATGCCCCATAGTGTTTCCGCTGGGGGAAGGGGTTTCATTGGGCATCCGTGCGGCACCCAGCACCCTCTTGCACAGTAACTTGCACACAGCTGAGTGGAGAAAGCAGCTTGCAGGTCTGTAACGTTGGATTACAAGAGCAACACCCTTCTCCCAGGCTGTCAGCTTTTACCAACCTGCAGGAAGCGATACTGCAGAACATGATCCAGAACATCCTGGTGGAGGCAAGCCGTGGGGAGGTGGTCCTCACCTCGAGGCCCCGCATCATTGCCCGTCAACATGAACAGGTGGGGGCTTGGGGTTCCACTCACTGGTTGGAGGGGTGTAAGACAGGAGAGGCGTTCAGACGGCATGGGAAGCCTCACCTTCATTCCTCCCTGAGGCTTTCTCTTTTGCAGGGCGGATGCCCTATTGCCGATGCAACAAGATGTATTCAGCTCTGGGGCGCAGCACACTCCTGACTGTGTGCTGCTGACTGCACCCAGCAACTCTAACATTGCCTAAATTGCCCCTGGTCCCTTTTTTTTTTTTTTTTTTTTTTTTTACTGTCTTGCAAGTAAAGCATTTTAACCCCTCCATCTGCCTGGATTTTATTTCCTCTTGCCTGGAGAAAGAAAAGTGGCGACGTGTGTGGAAGTGAGAACTGTCAGGGTGGACAGCAGAGATCCACCGCACCTTTAGAGATGGGAGGATGAGGCCCCTCTTGACTGGCAGAGTTCTTAATACTTGCAGTGTGATTCGTCTGGCCGGTGGAGGGCGCTTCGCTACAGTGTTTCCTGGTAGACAAGACCGGAGCACTAGGCCTGGTGGGCTAAACAAGCGGCCATGGGATGGACACTCCTACCGGCAGCCGTTTGCCAGCACCTCCAAGGCCAACCAGGTTCCCTGAACTCTCCTAAGAGGTTAAGAAGAAGGGGGCGGTGGTGGCTCACGCCTTTAATCCCAGCACTTGGGAGGCAGAGGCAGGTGGATCTCTGTGAGTTTGAGGCCAGCCTGGCCTACAAAGCTAGCTCTAGGACAGGCAGGGAGACACAAAGAAACCCTGTCTCGAAAAAGCAAAAACAAATTAAGAAGGAGGGGAAACTGAGGTAGACAGTGGCCTGCCAGAATTAGGATCTGTGCAGTATTCGAAGCCGTGGCTTGGCCGGCCACAGACGTATCCAAAATGACCTCGGTTACAAACCAATCCTCAGACCCAGAGATGTTCTGCCTTCACGTCGCCTCTGTTTTCTCCCTAAGCCTGGCTCCTCCCTGAGCGCGGAGGCAGGTGGGTGGAAAAGTGACATCTGGTGTTGTTCCAGCGGCACTCAGGTCCAGGGCAGCCACCCCTGCACCACCACCCCCAGCTTTTCCCCCTCTCCATCCCCCCCTGCCTCCACCCCCACCCCCACCCCCCTGCAGCCGCTGACAAGGCCTCTGCGGAGGCTCGGTCTCTGAGCCAGGGCGGGGGGTGGGGGGGGGCGCTCCGCCTCCGTGAGTCAATATTTGCCCCGAGCAAATGGGCGCCTGGACAGGTGTGTGTGTGTGTGTGTGTGTGTGTGTGTGTGTGTGTGTGTGTGTGCGTGTGCGCGCGCAGGGGCGGGACTGAACAGGCAGTATAAGAGTGCACTGAGCCCTGGCTCAGGCACAAGCTCCGGGGCGTGGGCTGGGGACGAAGCCAAGCCTGTCTGCTTTGGGCGGAGGGGCAGAAAGGCCACGGAGGGTGGCCCCGGAGGGAGGGGCGGGCCAGGTGTGCACCTGCGGGCGTCCGCCCCGGCAGCCGACGTGTCAGACAGCGGTGCGCGGCTGAGAGCGGCGGCCAGGGGAGCGCTGTGCGCCGCTGCGCTCGAGGAAGGCCATCCACCGAGGACGGACACCTCCGAGGACCGCCGCCAGGCCCCGGGTCCTCCGCTGCGCCGGCCCCGCGACGAGCCCCTCGCACAAACCGGACCTGAGCGTTTTGTTCGTTCGGCTCGCGTGAGGCAGGGGCGGCTTTTCAGCATCAGCCCCGGGGCCGACCGCCACCCAAGCACCTGCCTGCCCGCCGCCGCCGCCACCTCCACCGCCACCGCCACCGCCACCATATGGGTCACAGAGACTGCACACCGTGCCCGGGGACATCCGGCTCCCGCCAGGCCCCGCCTGCCCTGCCCGCAGACTCTGAGCTGCCAGGCATAGCTGGCTGCAGGGTGATGCAGGCTGAGCAGGCTCCAGCCGGGTGGCCGGAATTGGGCTGAGGTCCAGAACAGAGATTCCCCTCCTGAGCTTGGAAATTGGGATTCTAGCCTCGCTCTGTCCCGGCGAGTTCTGTGGCCTCGGGCAGGTGTTTCCCCAGCCTTTGGTTCTCCCGTAGTGAGGGCCTCCACGACCCTCTTTATCCTGGCTCCTGGGGAGGCCCACTGCAAGAGTCAATGCTAGAGAACTTGTGCGGGGAACACTTGCGAATGGTGAGCCCAGGACTTCTGTGCGGACTCAAATCTCTTCCGTGCTCCCGCTCCCACCTCAAAATTTCACTTCTGCCACTTGGCGGGTCTGTCTCTCAGTCCGATCATATCAGCGGCTATCAGCAGACACCACAAAAGGACAAACACAGGGTCTTCAGACACAGGAAGGAGCTCAGCACCTTTCTCAAAACCCGTAACCTTGTATTCTGCGCAGCCCAGTCAGACGGGCTAGACTGGGTCTGGGTAGCGCCCGGCTCAGCCAGAGTCCGGCCATGGATCATTAGCCACAACCCAGATCTGGAATGGGCCACCCCCATTTCAGTTACTTAAAATGCCGTGAGCTGGCCTGCAAGAAGGGATTGTCTTACCCTCCGACAGAGGAGCCTGGGGGGAGAGGCTAGGCCAGAAATGAGTGCTTCTGTCCTCTGATTCCAGGCGCCTTCCTTCCCCATCCCCCTCCTGGGAATGTGTGGCGACAGCTGTAGGTTAAGGGTAGGCAAAGGCTCCTCATGAGGCAGCAAGGAGACCCTGGCTGGCTTCCCATTAGGGTCAAGAAGCAAGGATGGAGAGAGGTAACCCACAGCCGAGACAGAAGCAATGCCAAGGCGGTGGGAAGCAGGGTGATAAATCGTTGTGGGTTTTTTTGTTTTGTTTTGTTTTGTTTTGTTTTGTTGTTGTTGTTTTTTCCCTAGAGCTACTTTTTTGTTCCATCAGCCACCCTAAACTCTACTGCCCAACTTCTGGCTATGCGGAGGCCCCATGGGAACTGCTGGGTTCCTAAGGAATGGTGGTAAAGGGGCTCTGACAGAAGATGAGTTCTTGACTGAACCAGCCCCAAGGCCAGGCTAGATCCACAGGTCCTCAGACATAGATAGGTATTTGTAACCCCCATGCTGGCCTCCATGACCTGCTTCCCTTGGCACAGTCTTTCCTCCTTGCCCTTGCTGGCACTGAGTGATTTACCTGTTGGCAGCCTGGATCACATTTCCCATGTCTTTGATGGCAGAACCGTCCCCTCCCCAATCATGGCATGAAACTGGGACTCCTTGGGGGTGGGTTGTCCAGATCCTGCACAACCTAGGCCTGCCCTTGGAATGGTCCCAGAACATACAAAAGCAGCCTTTGGAAGTAGGGTGGCAAAAGAGAGAGTATGGAGAGGGCTGAGGATCCGGCCTGGTGACAGATGTCACAGGGCCTCTTCCTTAAGCTTCCTTCCCCAAATCCCCACCCCCTACCCATTTCCATGATTCACTTTTCCAGGCCATCTTGGGGCATCTGGCCTCTCTCCTCTGGGTCCCTCCTCTTCCTCCCATCCCCCTGTCAGCCTGAGGTGGAGTCTGCAGGCGCCTGGCAAGCCTGCAGGTGCTGGGACAGAAGGGGGGTACTCAGCAGCTGTTGTGCGGGCTGCCCCTCCCCCCTCCTGCTCCAAGCCAGAGTCTGCTTCCTGTCTTCCCTGTCAGCACTCCCAGTAAGGGGAGGGCACAGGTAGGGGGAAAAGGAAAAGGAGTGATCAGTTGAAGTGCTGCCCTGTGGAAAAGATGGGGGGTGGGGGGGTGAGGCTGGGAAACAGCAGAGAAGACGTGGCCAAGGGGAAGGCCTGAGAGAGGCCTGAGAACAGGCGCAAAAGGTAGATAAAGAGTGCAGCTCTGAGGCAAGGCAGAGGGAAGCACTCAGGCAGGGCAGGGGGAACGACAGAACCACCAGAGAGTGGAAGCAAGACCTAGGGAGACACAGAGAGAAAACACACACACACACACACACACACACACACACACACACACACACACACACACGGCGTTGGTGGTCTTGTAAAAGACCAAAAGATGGGAACTTCAGAGAGAGTGGAGTTAGAGGTCCCATGGATAGAAGTGGAAAGTCAGAGGTGTGTCAGAGGGAGAAGGAAGTGTGAAAACAGGGTGGGGTGTGGAAATGGCCTCAAGGGAGAATATTGAGGTGGGTGGCAAATGGCAACCAGCAGGACTGGCGGGATGAACACTCTCCTCCTCCCATTAAAGGCCAGAAGATGGAAAGGCACAAGGCTCATGCCCGCCTGCGGTCCCTGAGCAGACACGGACAGTTCTCCACCCTTCCCTGTCAAGTCACTGCTGAGCAGCTGCCCTTCCCCCACCACTGTGGTGCATCCAGCTCGGCCTTGGAACCCCTGGGCTTGGAGGCCTCTCCGGGACAGTGTGAGAATGGAGAGACGCAGGAGCAGGGGCTCACATCCAGGTGCTAATCCCTGTGCAGCCGGGGTAGCACCAGAGCCTTGGTGACCTTCTTGGAGATTAATCCCCATGGTGACAGCAGCTCTGCCCCCTCACTCTGCCTAGGCCAGGTGGGTAGCTAGCTGGCAGGGCAGGTGGGGCAAGCCAGGGGCAGGATGGGGAGGGAGGAGAACCTTCCTTAGACATGGCAGGAGCTGAGCGGGGGGGGGGGAAGGGGGGCTCCAGCAGCCATTTTAGCTTACAGATAAAAAAAACAACAAAAAACAACTGAGGCCCCAAGCAAAGGGGTGGGAAGGAGGGCTGGCAGAGCAAAGAAAACCAGAGGGACTACAAGCTATGTCTATGTCTTCAGCTCTACTCCCCCACTTTTTCCCCCCTTGATGGCATAGGCCTGAGCAAGAATAGGGGAACTTGGAACACCTCCCCTGACCCTGTCAAACTGAGTGAGCAGAATGGCCCCTGGGAGGTAGAGGGAGGCAGTGACTGACAGCTACGCCACGTTGAGTGCTCTGCTGGCTTCTCTAGAACCTGGATCCAATTGGAAAGGGAGCTATGCTTGCTGCCTTGACCCCTCCCAATCCAACCCCACCCCATCCAAGAGCAAGTGGGGAGAGCCCTGAGACAGACACCCCTAACCTGAAAACACGCTACCGTAACTGCTGCCATTTGTTTGATGAATGTGTATTGCAGGGTGGTTCTGTGTTTTACATACATTTAAATCTTCCCAATAGTCAAAACAATGAATCACATTTTACAGAGGAGAAAATGGAAAGGTAACATGGGGGGGGACTACCTGACTTTTAATCAGTAGAGCTGGGATTTGATCTCAGGCAGGAAGCAGCATCCCTTTCAGAGTCCACCTAGCCTTCAGCACCTGCGTGATTAAAGCTAATAGTTAAGATGACAGCGGCTCTCTGGGTAACTGCAGAGCAGGCGTGTGAGCAAGTCATAGCTCATGAGGGTGTGTTCCAGTGTGAACCCTCCCCAATGCTTGCCAACAGGAAAAACTATAAATGACTGGACAAATGGGTCTTCACAGTAGACCTCAGAATAGACTCTGAGGTGTCCGTTGGGTCCTAGGATAAGGCAGTTCACATGCGAACTTTGTGGGATCTTGCCCGTGTCCCTGTTCCTGAGGATCCTCTCCCTGCCATCCTGGAAGAGGTTAGTGGCCCAGTGTGGAAGTGAATTCGTGGTGAAAGCTGCCTCTCAGTCTCTGGATGGGGATGGGTTGTCTGGCCTTACTGAGGAAGAGAAAAAAAGAATGGGTCTACGTGGGCAGGGCTCCCATCTGCATGATGAACTGAGTTATCTCTGTCTCCTGGGAGACAAGGCTTGTACAGCCCCAGGGAAGGAGCTCACCAACCTGTTCCAGACCTGGAATGGGGCGGGGAGGAGAGGAGCCAGGCAGCAAAGGAAAAAAGCTGGCGATAGGACTGGGGTGGATGAGGGCGCCACTCACAGAATTTGCATTTTCAGTCCCCCGGGCCCTGGATAATTTCCCTGTGAAATGAGGGGAAGAGGTGGGATCAGGCGCTTTGGGGAGAGGACCTTAGCCACCTTGAAACCGAAACCGGCAGCTTGAAACTGTCCAGCAGTGCTGAGAAGTGAGGCTTTTTTTTTTTTTTTTCATGAAGTGGCACTGTACACAGGGATGGCAGCCCCCTTCCCTAGGTAGTCTCTGGACCTTTACTGAGATGGAGATGTGAGTGGAAACTCAGGATCGGGTCTGCGCATTTATCTGCAGAGTCTACTGGTCCCCACGTGGGTGGGGTATGACAACCTTGTGGAAGCAATGACGCTCAAGGCCCTTGTGGATCTAAGGGTGAACCTGGAATGAGTATTTTCTTAAAATCACAGGCTGGGGTAGACAGAGTAGAGTAGGGTGGAGGTGCAGATAGGGTCTTAGGACTTCTGGGGTCTGTATGCCAGAGGTCCCTATATGAGATGGTTACCTCAGTGGGGTCAGAGTGGAAATTGCCATGATGAGATCTTTGTGAGATCTCTGGGTGATTTGGGGGTTATAGATCCGAGGTTGCTCCCCCCCCCCCGCTTGTTCCCCGAATGTCAAATCTGTGCTTGTGGAGGAGGCGAAAGGGATGGTACCGAGCTGGCAAACAAAGCCACCTGGGCATCCTTCCTTCAGGAAGCTCTAAGCTCAACTGATCTGGGAAAACAAACAGGAACAGCTGCTGGGGGTGGGAGGGGGCAGGAGGGGAGGGGGAGAGCAGGGGCTGGACTTGGACTTTCACGGTCCTGCTCTGGCGCAGCAGAGTGCGGGGCTGTCCGGGAGCTTCTCGGCTCCTGCCCTTTATTGGTGCCTTCCCTTCCTTGGTCTCTGAGGTTGGGGGGGGGGCTGGTCTGGTGCCTCAGTTGAGGTAGGTGGTGGTGGCAGGTGTGGCGGTCACAGACACACCCTTTAGCTGACTGTGGATAGAACTAAAAGCCACGGATGGCTGGGGAGAACCTACATTTTTTCTGATGAGGAAACCTAGGTGTAGACTGGGGAGAGGCTGGCTGCTGCCAAGAGGAGAACTTCCAACCGGAAAGGGTGGGCTTCTCACAGAAACCACCCCCCCCCCAAACCAGGTGACACCCAATTCTAAGGAGAGTCTCATGTCGACCTCTTTCCAAATCCTGGAGCGATAGCACATGGACTGGGAAGCTGCCCCCACCCCAGGCCCAGTTCCTAATGATGATAAACTTGACAAACGCGTGCCCCCAGCCACCACCACAGCCCCTCAGGATCAACACCGCCTCTCCGGCCCCCTCGCCTCCCCCACTGCCATCAGCTCTGGTTTTCTGGCCAGCGCAGGCTGGCTCTGCCCCCTAGTGGCCACCTTTAGAATTTTCTGATTAGCTGTTGTCCTGTAGGGAGCCTGAACTTTTCCCCTAAGGCCTGGGAATAATTACAGCCCCTTCTAGGGTAAAGTCAAACGCCTGAACAGTAATTCTGGCTCCATCCTCTATCAGGCTTGTCCCGTTTTTCCATCCATGGTCTCCTGGCTTGGGTTATATCCTCGATTCAAGCTGATGTGAATTCCAACAGCCATGGAGAGGTCCAAGGGAGGAGGTGCCTTCCCCCTCCCCCAGAAGCCCAGCACTTCAGAGATGGGATTAGGAAAATGGGTAAACCATCACCCCCAAACCGCTAAAGACTTTCTTGTCAACTCCTTCCCCATCGATGGACATTTGGCCCACAATTGGTCATCTTGTTAATTCACTCCAGTTTTATTGAGTTTTTACTCTGTGTCCAGCACAGTGCTAGGGATAACTGGGAACGAGACAGGCACAGTTCCTACCCTTTGGCATGGGGCTTACAGACTAGTAAAGGAGGCACCACACCGGTGAATTCACAGACTAAGGGGGGTGTCTTCAGCGTGACAAACGCTAGAGAGAAAATAGACTAGACGTGATGGGTGATGTTTTGTGACTAGCACCGTCCACAAAGTGGCAGAGGAGATTAGCCACGCTGAGAGCGGGTGGCTAAAACATTCCAGGGAATCCGACGGGCAAGTGTAAAGGCTCTGGGCTGGGAATGGGTTTACCAGAGGGTAAGTTGCCAAAAGTTGGGTGGGGGAGGCAGAACAGAAAGCCTGGATCTTTCCTAACTCTGAAACTGGCCAGTTATGAACTTGAAGAAGGCCCTGCACCCGGTTGAGTTTAAATTTTCTACATTTGTGTGTGCAAACTGGACCCACCAGGCTGTTGTTGGGTCTACAGAGGAGCCTCTTGGAAAACGGGAGTAACAAAGAATTTCCCACCCATCCCCTCACTCTCCTGCTGGGATAGCCTCTCACCATTAAGCAAGCTGGTGTCTAGTTGACAGCTACAATGACAAAGAGATCTCCTTCCTGCAACCACCCACCTTGGGGCTCTGAGCCTCTTCTGTCCCATTGGTCATTCCACCCCCAACCCCCGCCCCTAACCCCGCGCTCCCGCCGCCGATGTCAGGACCAGAGCTCTGGATTCTGAGGCTTGGGGAGGGGGCCTCGGCAGCCTCGCGGGTGGAGGAGAAGATTGAAATGCTCTTTCTACGTAGAACAGTGAGCCCCTCTCCTGGCACTTCTGCTCTCCCAGGTGCCTTTCCCTGCTTAGCGCCGCCTGGCGACGAGGCCTGGTCTCGACCGCGGAGCCGGAAAAGATTGGTCGGGAAGCCTCGCTCGGAAAGAAAAGGGGCTTGACCCGGCATCTTTAGAAAGGGATTTTTTCTTCCTCCGCCTGTCACCTCCCAAAAGAGATCTTCGCCTAGGGAGTTTTGACCCAGGGAATAGCTGTGCTGTGCTTGGCTCACGTGGTCTTCGGAGAGGCTAAGCCTGAAGGTCTGTGCCAGGGAGTGCGTGTTCTGCCCCTGGGCTAGGAGTCTCTGCCAGGCTTAGGCCCCATTGAAAGAAAGCGCAGAGTCAGCCTGGGCTCCGGAGGGGCGCGCTCTGCGCGCCTCAGCACTTTCCGTTGTCATCCAGGAGGGCTGGGACCAGATCGGTGGCTCCGCTGCCTATGCAGACCAGAGCTGGCCAAAGCCTGCCAGCTGACTCAGCTCGCCCACCCTACCCGGGTCCCACGGGGAGAGGCAGCCCGACGTGGGTATAAAGCGGCGAGCACCAGGCTCGCGCGCAGCCTCTCCATTTTTTCCTGTGCGGTGCGGTGCTCGCCTCTCCGGTGAGTACCGGGTGCTGGGGAGAGGGAGGGAGAAACAAGGGAACCCCACTCCTACCCGACCCTAGGCAGCCGGTGTTGAGAGCCAGGGGGGATCCTCACACCCTACCCCGGGATGGGCAGGCTGAGACTGAGTTAGAGGGCTCGGGGAGCTTAGCCAGCCACCCCGCCCTTCTCCTCCACAGCGACGATGAGCAGCGCTCCTGCCCCGGGCCCGGCGCCGGCTTCCCTCACGCTCTGGGACGAAGAGGACTTCCAGGGTCGTCGCTGCCGGCTGCTGAGCGACTGTGCCAACGTCTGCGAGCGTGGAGCCCTGCGCAGGGTGCGCTCCGTCAAGGTGGAGAACGGCGCGTGAGTGAGCCTGCTGTGGCTGCCGGGCTCATTTAGGGGGTGACCGGCTGCCCTCACACCCTAGCCACAGTCAGAGCCCAGGACTCTAGCCTGTGCTCCACCGTGCCCACAGACTCGTTAAGGAGAGAAACCTTTCTCCTCTCCAAAACTCCCAATCTTCTCCAAGACAAAGGCAAGAAGCGAGCTGTGGGGCCCCGCCCTGGAGGCCCCAGTGTTTCCTTTGTCAGGTGGCTTTGTGGAGACAGAGCCTTTCTTCTAGCCCCATCTTAGCATCCTAGAAGCCATCTTGGGGTCCCGGAGAGAGCTGAGGCTCCCTTGCCGCTATAGCAGGGTGGATGGCTGGCCGCCTCCATAGGCAGGCACATAAATCCCAGAAGAAAGTCCTTGGACCAGTGACCTTTGCAACCTGAAACATTCCTTCTAACCTGTGGAGCCTGAATGGAAAGCCTAGGCCCTTCCAATCCCGGAAAGCACCAGGTTTTGGGGGGGGGGGGTTCAGTTTCCAGAGGAGCTGGGTGTGTCCGGGGAACGGTCTAGAGTTAGAAAAAGAGTTTGGGTCCCTAGGTCTTTTTAACTACAGTAAACAAGGTGATGGTGATGATGATGATGATGACGATGATGATGGGGAGGGAGACGGAACAGACGCCTCCCAGTTTCTCCTCTTTTTCAGATGGGTGGCCTTCGAGTACCCCGACTTCCAGGGACAGCAGTTCATTCTGGAGAAAGGAGACTACCCTTGCTGGAGTGCCTGGAGCGGCAGCAGCGGCCACCACAGCAACCAGTTGCTGTCTTTCCGGCCAGTGCTGTGTGCGGTGAGCGCTGCCCACTTTCCCCGGGTCTCCCGCCGCCTAGCTCCAGGCCCCAGCCAGAGCATGGTGCCCTGGAAAGCCTACCGCCCCGCCCAGAGCAGGATGAATGAATAAAGTCGTAGGTGGGTGGCGGCGGCATTAGTCCAAGGTCCGAAAAAAACGGCTGAAAGCTGGGACTGTGGGGTACAGGTTTGATCAGCACCACGGACAGCACCAAAGACCCACCAGTTCTGAGCGCTCTGGGGTCCCTCTGCTTCAATCCACCACAGGTGTAAGGAGCCTAAGGTCTAAGATGTCACGCAGCCCCCGGGAGCCTGAAGCAGCTGCGGCTAGCGAGTCTTAGAAATGGGCTAAGAGGCATAAAGTGACTTTAATAGGGTCAAAAGTGTTAACATGCTGAAGACACTAGAATTCAGTCTAGGGATCGAGGCTGAGAACATGGTCAGTGTCAGCATGTCTCTGTGTATTGGACATTGTGTGTGTGTGTGTGTGTGTGTGTGTGTGTGTGTGTGTGTGTGTGTAAAATGAGTCAACTGTCCCAGAGATGAGGTCCTCGCTCTCCATTCATGCTCGTTTAAGCATTGCTGAGTACTGGGGCTGATGATGAAGGTCAGAGGTCCAGTCCTCTTTCTTGGTTCCAAGAGGCTGTGAGGGACCATAACCCCTCAGGAGAAAGACCCTTGTGCAAGGAAAATCAGATGCAACCAGCACTGCCACCTGTTCTGACGGTCCCATCCAGTACCCCTTAGCTGGGTCCCGATCTGTAAGAGGGGCTGATGGGAAAGCTGATGGGGTTGGGTCGTCAGTGGGAGCCTTAGAGAAATATCCTGGTTAATGAGCCAGACTTTTTTTTTTTGTTTGTTTTAAATCAGAACCCGTGTTTTTCTTCTAAATATAGGCATGGGGTTGAGGAGGGATAGTGGTACATGCCAATTACATCTACTTTGGAGGCTCAGGCAGAAGGATCACATGTTGAAGGCCACCCTGGTATACTCAAGGTCCTGGGTTTGATCTGCATCACCACAAATAAAGCAGACTACTACAACAAAAAGCTTTCCGTCACAAGAGTCCCTTTAGCACTGACCCCAAAGAATGTCTGGGAATGTCCTACTCCTCACACACACCTCAGTGTCTTGGCAGGACCCAGGAGGAGACTCTGATCATCCCAGCTGGCCACACTTACTAGGAGCTGATGGAGTGAATGAACTCCTGAAAAGCCTACAAGGCTGCATGACGTGATGAGCAGAAAGGGTTAAGGCTGTGTCCGTGAACACCACTTTGGAAGGCCTGACATATCTGTACCCCCTCCCCCCATTTCTGTGCCTCAGAACCACAGTGACAGCCGAGTGACACTGTTTGAGGGGGAAAACTTCCAGGGATGCAAGTTTGAACTCAGTGATGACTACCCATCACTGCCTTCCATGGGCTGGACCAGCAAAGATGTGGGCTCCCTCAAAGTCAGCTCTGGAGCGTGAGTCCTGGGGCTGGAACAAGGGAAGGGTGGGTGGTCCCTGGGAACAAAAGAGAAATGAGAGGATAAGATAATGGAGGATGCTAGAGGCTAACAGAGAGACCAGGGGATGGGGGGGGGGGGGAGTAGGAGGATAGCAGGAGTAGGAAGAGTCAATACGGACCAGTAGCCAGGGGGAGTATAAAGGGGTGGAGGTGGGTTGAAAACTTCTGTAAGGAGGAAATGAAGGATGGATATAGGAATCGGGCTAAGACAGATCACGGAGGGCCCAGTGCAAAAGGCAGAGCTGGACCAATGTTTTTGGAGCTGGCTATTGGTAGCTGGAAATGGGACCACATAGGTGGGAGTGAGGCAGAGTCTACTCTTTCCATTTTCTTTTCTACTCTAGGTGGGTGGCCTACCAGTACCCAGGCTACCGAGGTTACCAGTATGTCTTGGAACGGGACCGGCACAGTGGGGAGTTTCGTACCTACAGTGACTTTGGCACGCAGGCTCATACTGGAATGCTGCAGTCCATTCGAAGAGTCCAGCACTAGGCTCCACATTCCCAGCCATCACCGCTAAGGTTCTCAATAAAGGCTCTAGAATCGACCTGCCCCTCTTGCCTCTCTTCCTTGGTGTCTTTCTGCACGTGCGTGTGCGCGTGTGCGTGTGGTGTGTATGATGGAATCTAGACCTTTGTTCACTTGAGGTAAATAGTCTCCATTCTTATCCTTCTGAGGATTGTTCCCTCCAACCAGTGCGCCCTATAAAGAGCCCCAGGACCTTTGCCTGACTTAGATGAGCATGGACATGCTCTGGGGGAGCTAGAGGGGAACAGCTAGCAAGAGTTGTGGGATCAATAAAACTCAGCCAGTTTCCCCATCTCACCCTAGGTAAAGGCCCACCAAGGTAGGTCAAAGTATTGAAAGCCCAAATGCAGCCTCTGCCATTCTCAAGATGGATCAACAACCCTATCCTGAAGTAGGGTCCACAGCTGAATTTCAGCCACCGCACACTCCCTGGACCATGAGCCACCAGGCAGGACAGAATATCGTTGGCTATATACAAAAGCTCTGATCCCCACCCCCACCCGTGGCCATCTTTAGTTTGCATCTTTACCCTGGCTTCCAGCCAGCTAGGGAAACCTGCCAGTGTTTTTCAGTAGTCCCCTTTCTTTCATTCCCAGGAGAATTATTGGGAGGTCCCACTGTCCACTTCCACAGGGGGGCTTCATCCCCCTTTTCCCAGTCTCTAACAGCAATCACTAGAATCTCCTTTGACATCTACCTGTAAACCAAAGCTGTTGATCCATGCCATGGGGGTGTGTCTGAGGATTTAATAAGAACCCCCCCCCCCAGAATGTGTGTGATGTTGTAGAAAAGCAGTGGATGCAGGACCCTCCCATCTGTCCTGCCAGGGGTCTCAGAACCAAGGAGCTCTCAGTGGGCTCTAGAGTCCATGGCTTCTGTTGCATTTGATCCTCCAAATATCCTCCATATCTTCATCAATCTCATTTATAAAAAGGGGGGGTGGGCTTAAAGAGGTTACTGACCCAAGCCAGGGCTTGAAGACAAGGTCCCAATGACAAATCCAGGTTCAGTTAAGGCTAACTTGAGCTGCAGCTAAAAACCTTCAGGTTTCAATAGAGCCTGAAACATATGTGGGGTTCCTGGCTGGTCATCTCTTGCAGGATCGAAGCATTATCAAAAGCTAAATGCCTGTTACTTGGTCCTTAAGCATTTACCATAGGCTTAGAAGAAGCTCACAATATGCAGATGTTAAAACCTTCAGTTTTGAGACACTAAGACTAAGTACAGTACAAAGGTGATTTAACTTCCTCAAGCCACAGAAGCAGGAAATAGGTGAGACTCCAGAACCCAGAGTTGAATCCAGAATCCAGGTCGACGTGGCCACTTCCTCACTACCTGTTGCCATAAACAGGCGATGAACAATGGAGAGGACTCCAGTATCTTCTCTTGGGTGAGCGGTCCTCTGGGAAGCATCAATAAGTTATCTCTAGGGCCCCGGTTTGGTGACACACACCTTTAATCCCAGCACTGGGGCAGATCTCTGTGAGTTCAAGGCCAGCCCGGTCCACAAAGTGAGTTCCAGAACAGCCAGGGCTACACAGAGAAACCCTGTCTCAAAAAAAAAAAAAAAAAAAAAAAAAAGGAGAAGAAATGGAAAATAGATAGTGGCCCAGTGGCCTTGGGTTTGTTTGATCCAGCTTTTACCAGCATGGATCTCTTTAGGTTTTCCTGGATGGGGGGAGGGTCTGCCTCCCACATCTGTCATCTCCTGGTAGCTTGTAAGTGGAGGCTGAGAGTTTTAACCTCTGGGTCTCCCATTCTGGACAGGCTGTTAGTTTGTGGAGTGAGGAAGCATGGTGTTTGCAGCTTGGCAGGGAGACAATGGAGGGGAAACTACCGAAGACTCTCTCATTGACTCTCTTATCAGAAAGAGATGGAAGTGGAGTTGGGAGACTTCTCTGCACTTTTTTTTTTTTTCTCCTTTAGCACCCGAGTTCCTGTCAGGCTGAGCACAAAGCCTGAGCTGTTGATACAGCTAGTTTGTATGTTCCGCCTCTGAACTTTTCCCCCTTCTGCCTCAGCTCCTGCTGAGAGTATTACGCCTTCTGTATGCCCAGATCTTCCTGCCCTTACCTTCTTGCTGTTGCCTTCTGTCAGCAGTGATAGGATGGAGCAGTAAGAGAGCACAGAAAGAGGACCGAGATCTTGACAGCACCGGCTTCTTCCTGTGGTGTCCTAAGCTTTTCCCCCCTACACGGCCCAACCTTTCTGCCTTCGCTCCCAGCAGATTCCGAATCTGTATCCTGAAGTCTCCATCCCGGGCTCATTAGGATTCCGTGGACTGCCTCTCCTTACCTGCACCTTTCCGCCTTTGACTGGCAACGAGGAACTCTCCCCTGATTTACAGCAAGTGAGGGTGCCGCGGAAACCACGTAGATTATTTGCAGCACTTCCTCATACAGGCACCCTAGGAACAAGGACCCTGCAGGCGGCCCGCCCATGACCAGCTCCCCGCGCCCCTGGATTTAAGCAAGAGAGAGGCGGACCCGGAGAATAGCAGGTCTGACAGCAGCTACCCCTCGTCGCACGAAGAGTCACATGGTTGCAGAAAAGGTATCCCCGACCCAGAGCCCCAACTTCAGTGTCAGAGCTGGGAAGCTTCACAAGTACCCAGAGACCTGGTCTGCTTGGAAGCCACATCATGAATTAGGAAAGGCACTTGTACAAGACACAGTTCTTTTATGATCCCTCTAACCCCGCAGTGTGATTCCGTAATAACCAGCATGGGGGTGTTCGTAAGAGTGGGGAAGGATGGAAGAGAAACAGTTGTGGTGAGAATTAGGAAAATAAATAGGAATCTCCAAGGGGGAGGGGGGAGGGAGCAACTTATATTTGGTCTCTGGCGAGACAGGAGGTCCAACTGGGAATTGAATATATTTTTAAAAAAAATTTAAAGGGGGGGGGGAGAAGACAGGAGGAGAAAAAACCCGCAGGCACAAAGCAGTAAGGAGACCTAGAAAGAAGGTGAGGAGAATAAAGAAGAGAGCAACTCAGAAGTTGCCACGGGAGATGACCCAGCGTCCTGCCTAAGGCCCGGGGCCAGACAAGACAGGAAACCAGTGAACGCTTAGGGGAGACCAGGAGGGGGACCCGGTCTCTAGGGACCAACCGAGAGTAGGAGAAAGGAGGGAGAAGGCGCGGGGTGGGCAAAGATAAAGGGAGCCATGGCTGCGCGGCCCTGAGCGCAGCGACAGGCGAGAGGGAGGGAAGCGGAAATTTAAAAGTGAAGATGCAGATAACGCAGCCTGGAGACGGGGACCGGGTAGAGGGGGAGGAAAGGGGAGGAGAGTAAGCCTTGAGAGAGGGGAGGGAGAGGGTTAGGGAGAGGGCTGGGGGGGGGGGGGGGGGGGGGGCGCTGAGGCTGGAGCCTTCAGAACTCCGAAGCGGGGCCAGCATCCCCTCCCAGTCTCTGTTTGCAGAGTCAGGGAGGTGGAAAAGAGATGGCCCTCCTAGCCCACGTCTGAGCGCCCGAACCCGGAGCCCATCCCCCGCGTGTCTCCCGGGCTGCGGGGCGCGCAGGGGGCTGCCGGGCGCGCTCGGCGGAGGCGCTGAGCGCTGGAGACTTTATTGCGATGGGAAGATAAGAGGGGCGGGGGCGGGGTCCGGGGGGCCGAGGCGGCCGCACTTTAATTAAAACGGAAATTGCGGCCCCTGCCCGCGCGGGGCCGGAGGGCTGCCAGCGGCCCTGTAGCTGGGAGCGTCGCTCCTGGACCCCCTCCCTCCTCGCCACACCCCAGCTGCCCGCTCCCGCCAGGCCTCGCCGGACCGGGCGACGTCTACACGTCTTCCCCCGTCACCTACAGTCGCCTCGGGCGGGGGATCGTCGGCACCCAAAGCGCCAAGCCGACGTGCCCCCCTCCCCCTTGAAGCCCACCCCCCCACCTCCCACCGCCCAGTCCCCCGGCAGCGATGAGACAGAGCGGCGCCTCCCAGCCCCTGCTGATCAACATGTACCTACCAGGTAGCAGGGACCAGCCCGGGGGCTGGAGGCACCGAGACCCTGGGCGGGAAGGCTAGGCCTGGGCGCGGGGCAAGTTGGATGGAGCAAAGGAAGGGGGATGCTTCCAGAAAGTCGCTTTGTGGTGTGTGACAGGGAACTGCTGATGGAAATTGGGGGCGTTCCGGGGACCTGCCAGGTAGACAGCGAGCGCCAGGGTTTCGGTGTGTGGGTCTGGAGGACTCGCAGATTCGGGGTCGTCGGTGGCGGGGGGGGGGGGGGGCTTTGGCTTTGGGGCCCCCGGGCCCCCGCCCCCCCCCCCCCCCACCCCAAGGCTGTGATCCGCCCTAGCGGCGGCACCCGAGCCCTCAAGGGTCCTCACCTTGGTCCTCCGAGGTTCTCACCAGCCGAGCCTTTCAAGCGCCCCCCCCCCCCTTCCTCTTTACCAGGGGCTCCGCTCGCTCAGACTATGCTAGCGTAGTCCCCTCTGGGGTTTTATAAGGCTCCAGCCGGCCCCTTCGGAAAGCGGATTTCCTTTTTCCTGGACGCGTTTCCTGACTTGGGCGCTATGGAGGGGCTCTGCGTCGCTCGCTCCGCTCGCTCGCGTCGCAGCCTAGCTTGGGAAGGAGGAGCTGGGTGGCCCCGACCCCCCAGCTGTGCAGTCCCGGGCACAGCTTCCGCCTAGGGCTGCTTGACTCTCTTCTCCCGCGCCGCAGATCCTGTCGGAGACGGCCTCTTTAAGGAAGGGAAGAGCCCGAGCTGGGGGCCGCTGAGCCCCGCGGTACAGAAAGGTGAGCCGCTGGGTTGGTAGAAGCGACAGCAGCAGGTGGGGACAAGGATATGAACCCCAATAGGATGGGTACCACTGCTCCTATAAAGAAGGGCAGAGAGAGGACTGTGGAAAATAGAAGGCCGCGGGGGCCGGAGGGGGGGGGGAGCGGATTGTGCAGAGGCCTCGAGAAGACATTGCTTCTGTCTTTGACATTTTCTGAGTCCCTGCGCTAGGTTTGCGGGGCAGGCCAGGCTAAGGGCACCTCGCCCTCCAGACCCTTCTTCCTGTCAAGTATGGTTCTCCTGACACGGCCGCTGTAATTGGCATTCTTTTTTGCCTTGGCTGTTTGGAGAAAAGCCGTAGCACTTCTTGGCAAGGTCCTTCTCCACCCGCCCCTAGGCCACCAGCGCCTAAGCCTTACCTGGTGCTTACTGGTACCCCTGCCGATCTTGCTGACTCTGCCAGCCAAGCCAGCCCTGGTGTTGTGTTTGGTACCTAGGTTTCCTGCGGCAGATAACCGGCCTGTCCCCCTGGCATTTCAACTCTTTCTCATAGCGTCTGGCCCAGCCAGTACCCTAATCGTACAAAAGGCCAGAGAAGATGGGGTTGGCTTCTCTTTCCTAGAAGGAGGGGAATGTAATGCCCAAAGGGGATGGGGACGGGGAACCAAATCTCTCGTTGCTCCCATTTGGTCCCAATGCACCTTCCCCGAGGTCGACTCTAAAGCTAAATCCTGGCTTCTGGGAACCAACTAGCTCTTCACTGATCTGGTTTAGGGGAACCGAGGTAGAAACTGGCAAAAAGACGTTTTCTGGGTTCTAATTGAGTGGCCCTGAATAGAGAGGAGGCAAATACGTTTTATTCTAGAAGGGAAGGGGCAGGACAGTTTGTCAAGGTTTTGTCCTCTGAAGGCTTCAAAACAGAGGAAAGTGAGTTTTGGGTCACCCAGCCCGGCACCACCTGGGTATGAGATCTCCTTGCCATGACCCTGGGATCTGTAGTAAAACCAGCCAGGAACCCAGCACAAGCCTTTTGCAGTTCTACCTCTTTCCTGAGAATTGCCTGCCACCCCCCCCCCCAGAGGTCTGGGGTCTTCTCCAGCAGCACAGAAGTCAGTGCAGCTGGAGGTGGTGAAGACGGGGACCCTCCTAGAGATGGCATCTCTTCTCGGTACGCAGGGCCTCTCTGACAGGGCGCTTTCCCAAGCCGGGCCTTTGGGTGGTAGGGACTGTCTGGTGCTTGTACAGATGGGGGATGGGGGGGATCACCATCGAGGAGCCCTCCTGCCCTTTCCGGCTGGCTCTCTGGACAGAACCTCACCTGGCTGGGCAGTTCATCCTCCTGCACCCGGGTGTCTCCTACCGCTTTGCGGTCTCTGCCCCGAAGAAGGGAGACGGGCCCAGGAGGGCAGGAGGGTCTGCCGTCTGGTCCTTACCTAGGGACCTGGGACTCCTTCTCCACGGAGAAGACAATGCTTCCTGACACCCAAACAACCACTCAGCAACGTGCCCTAGGGCCCTCCCAAATGAAAACCGGTCCCATTGTGCTCTGCCGGTCTACACTGGCTGAGCAGCTGCCTCCAGCTACTCGCGGTGGTCCAGTCAGTCTAGACGAGCCCTTATCCTCGCCCGAGGTGGACCTCTGTCGGTTTGGGTGGTTTTCTGGCTTCACCTTCATCCCGCCCGACCCCCCACCCCCCACCCCCCACCCCGTCCTGGTCCCAACCTGCCCCTCCCCTTACAGGCAGCGGGCAGATCCAGTTGTGGCAGTTTCTGCTGGAGCTGCTGGCGGACCGCGCGAACGTCGGCTGCATCGCGTGGGAGGGCGGCCACGGCGAGTTCAAGCTCACCGACCCGGACGAGGTGGCGAGGCGGTGGGGCGAGCGCAAGAGCAAGCCCAACATGAACTACGACAAGCTGAGCCGCGCGCTGCGCTACTACTACGACAAGAACATCATGAGCAAGGTGCACGGCAAGCGCTACGCCTACCGCTTTGACTTCCAGGGCCTGGCGCAGGCCTGCCAGCCTCCGCCCGCGCACGCCCACGCCGCCGCCGCTGCCGCCGCCGCCGCCGCCGCCGCCGCCCAGGACGGCGCCCTCTACAAGCTCCAGGCCGGCCTGGCCCCGCTGCCCTTCCCGGGGCTCTCCAAACTCAACCTGATGGCGGCCGCTTCGGCGGGCGTCGCGCCCGCTGGCTTCTCCTACTGGCCCGGCCCCAACGCCACCGCCGCCACCGCCGCCGCCGCGCTCTACCCCACCCCTGGCCTGCAGCCCCCTCCCGGCCCCTTTGGGGCGGTGGCCGCGACCTCGCACTTGGGGGGTCGTTATCACTAACTCCGACCTGCCCCTGCCGGGTGGCCAGCCCCATCCTCATTCCGGGGGCGGGGCGGGGGGGAGCCCCGACGCTCTCTCCCCGACTTTCTCCTTGCAGCAGCCGCTCTCCAGCCCGGGGGAAGAACGGATTGGAAGCCTCCGGGGTCTTCCTTGAACACTAGGCTTCCGGGTCCCCCATTATTTTCACCCCCAGAAGGGCTACTGTGCTCCCCACTTTAATCTCTCTCTTCCAGGTCTCCAGATTCTGAAACTCCCTCGTCTTTTTCTCTTCTTCTCACCTACACCCCGTGAGTCCCTCTTTATGACCCCCATTTTTCTAGTTTCTTTCCTCGTTTCCCCCCCCCCCCCCCTTCCCCTGACCTCCTCCCAATGATAGTACTTCTCACACTCCTGATAAACATCTCTGCCGTCCCCTCTCCCCCCCCCCCCAACACTCTGGCTCCCCACACTCTGGTCCCAGCGTCTCTCTCTATATATAGCCCTTTCAGCCCCATTAAAGCTCCCAAGCTCCCCACTGCCTCCTCTCTCTGTTCGTTGCTGCACCAGGGCCCCTTTCAAGGAGGCCAAGGAGGTAACGGCTGACTGCAGGCAGAGCAAAAGGCCTCCAAGAGTGAGGGCAGGCAGGCCTGGGTGTGGGTGCCCCCCCCCCCAAGCGAAGAGGATCCGGTGGGTGGGGCCCTGAGTGATGCGTCCCTCGCCCCATCCCATGCCCACCTTCAACCCAAAGAGCATCCCATTCCACCTTCCTCCATCTCGCCCATCTTTCCGCCATCCCCGCGACGCATCTCAACCTTTTCCTTCGTTCCATCCCATCCAGCCGCTACACTCTGCCCTAATTCAATACCTGTCCCTGCCCCCAGTCCCTACTTCGCCCAGTTCTCGCAGTATCTTCTTTCACTCTCCTTCACAAACCTCCAGCTGCTCCCAGCGGTTTGGCTCCCACCCTCCTCCATAGTTGCCTCTGCTCTTTTAAAGGGTTTCTCACGCTGTGTTTGGACGGTTGGTCCACTCTTTTCCCGCTAGTGGTGCGCGCCCTCTGCTGGTCGGAGACAGGGTAGGCCCGGCTAAGGCAAAGTCTAGGGAAGATTTGGTGGAACTTCAGATGCTTCACCTATTAAGGACAAAAGGACCAGGTCGGTCCACATTTCCTTTAATCCTCAGGGTGAGGGGCTAAAGGGGGAACCCAGACGCTTCGCCCTGGATCCGGCCTTGGGGAGTCTGGAAGTGGGTCTGGCGGATCTTTCTGACGCTGCCCGGGCTCACTATCCAGAGGAAGTTGTAGAAAATGGTCCTAGGCAGACTTCCAAGCTAGGCTCCTGCCCTCCCTTCCTAATGGTCCAGGTGTTAGCTCACAAGGGTAGTTGTTATCTCTTTCCAAAATAAAGGGTCTTTTTTTTCATTTGTGGGAGAACGCCTTGGGTACCTTGGCCCTCTATCAGGCAGGCAGGCAGGAAGGAAGGAGACTTCCCTGTGTCCTGTCTGCAGAAAGGGGGAAATGAAGGTAGGAGGAGACTGGGTAGTGGGAGTTTGGGGTGAGGGAACCCTTCCCAGGCTGCCTTTGAACCATCCAGGCCCACCCTGAGAGGGAGTCATTTCTCACTTACTTACCCTTCTTTTCTGGTTTCTAAATAGTGCGTACTTACTGTAGGGGATCCACTTAGGCGTGGATCCCGGTGACACACGCCTGTGATCCCAGCACTGAGGAGTAAAACGCAGGAGGAACCAGAATTTGAGGTTAGCCTGGGCTAAAAGCGTCAAGGAACAAAACAAAGAAAAGCCTTGAAAAAGCACACAAAAGGCCTCCATGAGACCCTGGTTGGATAAGAAGTGTAGGGAGGTGGAGGCTGGAGAGATGGCTCAGTGGTCAAGAGCACTGGCTGTTGGCACTCCCAACACCCACATGGTGGCTCAGAACCATCTATAGTGGAGTCTGATGCCCTCTTCTGGCAAGCAGGTGTACATATAGATAGAGCACATATGGATAGAGTACTTTTTTTTTTTTTTTTTTTTTTTTTTTTTAGGCATGGAGCAGGGAGAGAAATTTCCTACATCCTCTTTCAGAGGACATTCTTGACCCCTCTGTCTAAATAGCCTTCCTTGTCTCTGTACCTCTTTATTTGTTTCTGCTGTTGTTGTTTGTTTTGTTTTTGAGACAGGGTTTCTCTGTGTAGCTCTGGCTGTCCTAGAACTAGCTCTGTGAACCAAGCCAGCCCCAAGCTCACAGAGACCTGCCTGTCTCTGCCTCCCAAGTGCTGGGATTAAAGTCAAAGTCATGCACCGCCACGACCTTGTTCTCCATGCCACTTTTCAAAAGATTTATTCATTTCATGTGCGTAAGCGTTGTGCCTTCCTGTGTGCCTGTGCACCACGCTAGTGCCTGGTGTCCGCCAAGGTCAGAAGAGGGTGCTGGGTTCTCCTGGAACTAGGATTCTGGGTGATTGTGAGCTAGCATGTGGGTGCTGGGGACAGAACCCTGGTCTTCTTCAAGAGCAACAAGTGATCTTAAGTACTGCTCCATCTCCCCACCCCTTATCTATGGCATTTAAAACTTCAGGATACTCTGCTTTTGCCACCAGAACTTCTAGCACAGGCACACTCCATGTCCCATCCTATACAGCTCCTGAGATGGAGAATGGACTCCCATAGTCCAGATAATATGCGAGCCATGGGCTTGCTGAGGGCATTGGGGAACTAGCACACTTACAGACCTATTCAGGGATGGCGCTCACCAGAAGAGACCAAGGATCAAGAAATCTGAGCTGACAAGAATTTCCTGGCAAGGGTTGGAAGGCCCTTAAATCTCTTAAATCTTAAATCTCTCTCTCTCTCTTTTTAAATGCATTTAAAAATACTTATTATTTTATGTGCATTGGTGTTTTGTCTTTGTGTCTTTGTGTCTGTGTGAGGGTGTCAGATCCTCTGAAATAGGAGTTACACACAGTTGTAAGCTGCCCTGTGGGTGCTGGGAATTGAACCCAGGCCCGCTGGAAGAGCAGCTAGTGTTCTTAACTGATGAGCCATCTCTCCAGCCTCCTGTTCTTAGATATTTACATGAAACAACAGGAGACAGAATAAAAATCACACCAAGGTTGGGGCTAGCAGAGGCTGTGTACGAAATAGTGGTATCTTAGGAAACACAATGACATGCAGAAAAACTGGATTTGAGGATTGATGGGGATATGGAGTGCAGGGTAGAGGAAGGAACCCACCCTCTGCCGAATGCCTCATCTCCCACCCCCATCCCTGGAATGTAATGCTCAGAATAAGCACTTTTAGGAGGAGGAAAAAGGGAAGCCACACAGTGCTTTGGACCAGGACGTGAAGAGGAAGAACCCCGGAGAGGGGAATCAAGTGGGGAAAAGGGTCTGAGAACTGTCCTCCCTTATCCAGACAACAGTCCTGAGGGAGAGGAGCTGCATGCAGCTGGTTGAGGGCAGTGCTTGGAAGCTGCAGTAAAACTGATGGCACTTTCAGCTAAGAAAGGACCCCAGGCAATGGCATGTGTCAGCTCCTTTTGGGAACAGTTGAAAGTGGGGATGGGTGGACCCTGGTCTTCTCTAACCTCGTGCTCCTTGAGGTCCCATAAGTGGATGAAGAAGAGATTTCAGTCATTGTGGAACAGCTGGGAGATGTTCAGTTACTTGATCTCATTTATGGAATCTCATTCATTTTCAAAAATTTATTGCTGCTGTTGGTTTCTGAGACAGGATTTCTCTGTGTAGCCTTGGCTGTCCTGAACTTCCTTTGTAGACCAGGTTGGCCTCGAACTCACAAAGATTAGCCTGCCTCTGCCTCCCAGAGTGCTAGGATTACAGGCATGAACCACCACGCCCTACTGAAACCCCATTTTTATGTCCACCCAACTCTGTTCTTTTCTGTTCCTGTAGCTAGTCTCTAGAGGGCTCATGCAGGACTGGGAACAAAACATCCATGTCATAGTCATGGCTTGTCAATGAACTTGCTCTGTGTTCCTCAGATAATCTCATTTCTTTTCCGGACTTCCATTCTAACCTTATGAAAATTCTGAGCCTACACCGTAGGTTTGCAAACTGCTCTGTGGATCCTCAGGGGTCACATGGATTCCCTCTACAAAGCATTTGTTCAAGGTGATGGTAAGATTTAAGTGCAACCTCAGCATCTTAGAGGTGTACATCATTGTCGCTGGTCCATCTCAGCTCTGGTAGTTCCCCTGCTGCCGTGATAGGTCAAGTTCTTGAGGCAACTGTTCTGCTCAAACCCCAGAGAAGACACAGTCTTGCAGAACTGGAAGTTGATTGTGGGGCTTCCAGAATGCTGGGAATTCTCTACCACATTCTCAGCCCCAAGTAGCCACACTCTAACGGAATCCGGCTTCCTGATAATCCTTGCCTTTCTAGACTGACCCTTTCCCCCATCGTCGTTGGCCCAACAAGAACCCATTATTGTTTCCAGTCTTACCCAGAGGAAAGCCCCCATTTCAATCTTTAAAGTTCTGAACCCCTTTTTGGTCATCTCATCCACTTCCCTGGTGACAAGATCGATTGCCCCCACCTCTCATCATGGGCTTGCAGTGCAAGCTTGCAGTGCTTACAAAATGCTTTCACAACGCACCTCCCCTGAGGTTACGGGGGTGGACGGCTGTAACTCCAACTTCTTGGAGAATAATAATAAACCAAGCCTCCCCCATGGCAAACGAACTAGCCAAAATCAAGGGGCTTGTTCTGGAACCTGTGTTACCTGGTTCTCCTGCCAGACCACTTCTCACTCCTCTGATGGCGTCTTCCTTAGTCCCAAACACGGTCAATGGCCTTGCTTAGGATCACTCCCAAGCAGTGACCCATGTCTTCTCTGCTGCCCTGCATGCTCTTGAAGATGGCATCCAAAGCCCCGATAACATGGCATGTAAAGGTCTGTGGCCTCGCTGTCTGTCTGGGATTGAGTGGCTGTAGAGGACCTGTGCTACCTAGAACACACAGGCTGATGGAGCGCTTTCCCACGTGCTTTCTCCTGTGACACAGACACTTCTGTACTGGGATGTACTCTCCTTGGAGCCCCTTCTGGTTTCATTTTTTCCCCCTCCAATATGTCTTTAAGATTCATTAGACCCTCTTTAGCTTGCTTGTTTGAGATGCTTAGAATTCAGTCAGTTGGGTCTGCTGATCCTAAAAATACACCGTATCATTTGCCGAACCTGGCCTAGCACCAGGCTCTGCCTTGTGCCAATGTTGTTCAAGCAGTATGCTCTCTGATCTGACCACACCTTGCCAAGTTACCTCAGTTTTAAAGAAACAAAGGCTTGGAAGATTGAAGTAAATAGTCTCAGAGCCGAAACCCTCACCATTCTCCAAGTTCTT